AACACCTCAAATAGACTTCAAAACAATAGAACTAGATGATTTCAACACAATTCTCTCACCAAGAGATAGGTCACCCTCACACAAAGTATGTAATGGCTTTTCAGACCTAAAAAATAATGCTAATCAAATGGACCCAACAGACATCTATATAATATTTCATCAATCCAAAACAGAATTCATTTTCTTCTCAGCTATACATGAAACCTTCTCCAAAATAGTCCATATTTTAGAAAACAAAGCAAGTCTTAGAAAATATAAGAAAATAAAATTAAAAAAGGAAAAAGATAATTTTCTTTTTTGCATTTTATCAGATCAGAATGGAATAAAGCTAGGAATCCACAAGATAAAAAACAGAAACCACTTAAACACATGGATACTAATATACTTCTGTATGAGGAATGGGTCTTAGAAGAAATCAGGGGAGAAATAAAAAAAATCTGAAAAACAAATGTGAAGAGAGTTATAAAATTAAAATCTCTGAGAGTATGAAGGCAGTTCTGGAGGAAAGTTTGCAATATGGAGTGATTACATAAAAACAAATACAGAAAGATTCCAAATAAATAATCTAATGTTACATCTCAAGGTCCTAGAAAAGTAAGAACAGACTAATTCCATTATTTTCCAGAGCAAGACAGGAAATAATGAAGATCAGAGCCAAAATTAACAAAATCAAGAATAAAAAAATACAAAGGATCAATACAATAAAGAGCTGTTTATTTATTTATTTTTAAAACTGGGGATGGAACTCATGAGCACTTTAATCCCTAGCCTTTTTAATTTATTTATTTAGAGACAGGGCTCACTAAGTTGTGAGGCTGGCCTAATACAACCCTCCTCTGGCCTCTCAAATTGTTGGGATTACAGGCATGCACCACTGTATCTAGCAGAGTTGGTTCTTTAAAAAAATAAACAAGATTGATAAACCCTTAGTCAAATAAGAACCAAATCAAAAGTGTAGAGATGAAAAGTATATATCACTAGAAATATTTTTGAAATACAGAGGATCATTAGGAACTATTTTGATATTGATTAAATTTTCATCACATATGATCCACTCAAATTGAACCAAGAGGATATAGAAAACCTAAACAGATGGATATCAAGGAATAAACTGAAGCAGTAGTTGAAAACCTTCCAAAAGAGGAAAGCCCAGCACCAGAGGGTTTCTCAGGTGAGTCTAGTAAAGAAGAATTAATGCCAATTCTCCTCAAATTATTCCATGAAATAGAAAAGGAACACTACCAAATTTATTCTATGAAGTCATTATCACATGATATTCAAACTAAATAATGACACACTAAGGAAAGAAAACTACAGAACAATAACTCTGATGATCACAGATTCAAAAATCCTTAATACAATATTAGCCATTTACATTCAAAAACACATTAAGAAGATGGTACACCATGATCAAAATGGTTTCAACCCAGGGACACAAGGTTGATTCAACATATACAAATCAATAAATATAATTCACCACATAAATACAATTAAGGACAAAAATCACATCATCTGAAGAGATGCAGAAAAAGCCTCTGACAAAATTCAGCACCCATTTATGGGAAAAATACTGAAGAAACTAGGGATAGAGGAACTTATCTCAATATCATAAAGGCTTCATATGATAAACCCATAGGAAATATCATACTGAATGGAGAAAAACTGAACAGCATTTTTTTCTAAAATCAAGAATAAGACATTGTTGCCTGCTCTCATTACTCCTATTCAGTGTGTTCTTGAAATTAGCCAGATAAGTCAGGCAAGAGAAGGAAATTAAAGAAATATAAATAGAAAAAAATATTACATTATCTCTGTTTCCCAATGACATGATCCTATATCTAGAAGATTCCCCCCACAAAATAAAATTCCATCAGAAGACTATTGTAGCTGATAAATAAATTCAGCAAAGTAGCAAGATACTAGATCAACGTTTAAAAAATCAACAGCTTTCCTATACTTTAATAGTGAATCTGCTGAGAAAAAATGAGAAAAATAATTCCATTCACAATAGCTTTAAAAACCAGATCAAACCAAATCAAACTCAAAACAAAAAAATCAACCTGTGAATACACCTAACCAAGGAGGTGAAAGACTTCTACAATGAAAATTACAGAACACTGAAAAAAGAAGCTGAAGAAGACCTCAGAAGATGTTTCTTTAACCTGCACAAAAATCAACTCAAAGTGGATCAAAGACCTAGGAAATAGACCAGAGACACCACAGCTGCAGAAGATGGAAAGACCTCCCATATTATTAGATAGGTAGAATTAATATTGTCAAAATGGCTACATTTTGATATACAGATTCAATGTAATCTCCATCAAAATAACAAATGGCATTTTTCACAAAACTAGAAAAATATTTTAAATTCACTGTAGGAAAAACAGACTCAGAGTAGCAAAGCCATACTGAGCAAGAAGAGTGATGCTGGTGGCTTTATGATACCTGTTCTCAAATTATACAATAGAGCTATAGTAACAAAAACAGCATAGTACTAGTATAAAAAGACATGGAGATCAATGGAATAGAGTGGAAGAGACCAAGAAAAAAAATCCATATAGCTAGTCATCTGTCCCTAATACAAGTGCCAAAAACATACATTGGAGAAAAGAACTTTTTTTTTATCAAATGGTGCTGGAAAAACTGGCTAGCCATTGTAGGAAAATGAAACTAGATTCCTGTCTGTTCACCTTGCATAAAAATCAACTCAAAGTGGATCAAAGACCTAGGAAATAGATCAGAGACACCACAGCTGCTAGAATAAAACAAAGGGCCAATACTCCAACACACTAATGCAGGCAATGACTTCCTTTATAAGACTGCTAAAGCTTAAGAAATAAAACCAGGAATCAATTAAGGGGGATAGCTTCAAATTAAAAAGCTTCGGCGCAGGAAACAAGAGTGTGAAATGAGAGTCTATTGAATGGGAGAAGATCTTTGCCAGTTACTCTTCTGACAGAAAATCAATATGCAGAATATATAAAAAACTCAAAAACCTTACCATGAAAAAAAAAATAGCTCTATCAAATAATGGGCAAATGAATTTGCAAATGACTAACAAATACATGCAAAAATGTTGAACACCCTTAGCAATCAGAAAAATGCAAATCAAAACTACACTAAGATTTCATCTCATTATAGTTAGAATGACAATCATCAAGAATACAAATAATAATTGCTGGGTGAGGACATGGGGGAAAAGTTTCACTCCCGTATTTGTTGGTGGGACTGCAAATTAGTACAAACACTCTGGAAAGCAGTATGAAGATTCCCCAAAAGCCTAGGAATGGAACCACCATATGACCTAACTATCCCACTCCTTGGTACCTAAGAACTAAAATCAGCATATTATAGTGACAAATGCATAAAAATATTTATAGCAGGAGCACAATTCACAAGAGCAAGTTATAGAACCATCCTAAGTGTCCCTCAATAGACAAATGGATAAATGTCTGGTATATATAAAATTTTTGCTCATCCAAAACCAAAAATGAATTATGTCATTTTCTAATAAATTGATGGAAATGTAGAACATCATACTAAATGAAATAAACTTTTTCTCACATGTGGAAACTAGAAAGAAATAAAGAATTAGGGGGAAAAAAAGATCTCACAAAAATAGAAGAAAGAACAGCAGAGTAGAAGAAAGAGATTCAGGGAGAGGGAGGAGGGATGGGAAAGGGAAGAACTATAGAATGAAACTGACCAAACTATGAAATGTGCATGTAATGAATATATCATAATAAATTCCACTTTTATATATAACTATGAGGCACCAATTAAAAATTAATTAATTGAAGGAAGATCAATAGAGGAGAGGAAAGACATCAGGAGGAGAAAGGACAGGAATGAAGGAAGTAGTACTGGGAATTGAAATAGAGCAAATTATGGTATATGCATTTATGGATATGTCAAAATGAAATCCATGATTATGTATAACTATAATGCATTAATTAAAAAAAGAAATTTCATCATTTTAAAAAAGTTAGGTTTATACTCTGATATCTAATGTATACAGCATAATAAAAGCCTTAGCTCTACATATGTTTGGACAGATAAAATTTTCCAATGATTTTAGATTCCTTTTTCCTGAAAATATTACATAATACTCCAACATTTTAATAGTCATTTATAAGAATTATAGTTGTTGATAAACGTATACATTATAATAAGCACTTCTACATATATCATTGAACTCAATCATCACAATTCTGCAAGACAGGTTAAAAATGTAAGCAAGCCACAGGATTTTCCCCATATTTTCTGAATCTACTTCTAGTATTCTACCAAATCAGTTGTTTCTGTATTGCAAATATATAAATATAAAAAAAGTCCTGTAATTCAAAATGCTGTGGAAAATAAGGTGAAATTTATGGGGCTGTTCTTAGTCAATATTGATATTACTTGCTGGTGTAGTAACCTTTCTTTCTTCTTCATGGTGTTTTAGAAACTAATACAAATGAGGAAAATACAAATACCTATTTCACTATAAACAAAATACTTTTAACAAAAAATATCACTAAGTATATATTATGGTATACCATTGTTTTCAAAAGCTCTTTTTACTGAAATAAGAGGTTGCTTGAGGAAATGACATCCAAAATAGGTCTCTGCTTCGATACTTTTCTTTCTTGTAGTAGATGTTACAAACAACCTCATATCGAGGGGGTGAAATCACTGCAAACACCTAGAAAGAACATCCATTGCTACTACAAAGGGTTTTGAGATGGTGAAATCATCAATTCCTAGAGAAAATATTAAAGTCTTTTCTTTGAATGACTATTGAACTACTACAGACAAATGAAGTTGAATTAAGAACATTAATTTATTCAATGAGTCCCAAATGCCACACCACTCCAAAATATATAACTATGTATATAAAAAAACCATGTTAAAATAAATAAAGAATTGGCTATACTTTCCAAAATGCATATGTTGTTTTTTAAAATATGAAGACATACAAAATACACACACGAATTGGCAATGAATAAGGAAAATACCTCTGAACTCATTTTCATTTGCGCCATTTCTATTTCCTTTTGTTTGCAAAGATGATTTGCCAGAATCCCATCTTGTAATATTCTAGCATTCTGTTCTTGAGTAAGCTGCCTCTGGAGGTCATTTCGGTCCTCTAAAACCTAGAGATAACATTTCATTAAGTTTTTGGTTTTGTTACACTGGGGAAATTCTAAAAGCTTAACTAAAAGCACAATCCACAAAATTAAACACACACACACACACACACACACACACACAACTATAAAAAGGAAGTAGTCTATTAAAGTCATATGAATTACTTAATTTTGTGCTTTTTTTTTTTCTTGGTACTAGAGATTTTTTTTCTTGGTACTCAGAGGCACTTAACCACTAAGCCCCATCACCAGTCCATATATATATATATATATATATATATATATATATATATATTTTTTTTTTTTTTTTGTTTTTTGTTTTTTGTTTAGGTTTTGAGACAGGGTCTCACTAAATTGCTTAGGGCCTTGCTAAGTTGTTGAGGCTGACTTTGAACTTGTGATCCTCCTGCCTTAGCCTCCTGAGCTGTTGGGATTAAAATTAAATTTGTCAAAGAATATAACCAGTTCTTAACAATATATAGAAACAATATCATGAAGTAAACATTTTTATAAAACATTTAATTAGTTTCACAATAGTTTCAAAGCTATTTAATTTGTATTTTTGGATTTTAACATAAAAATGCTGCATTTACAATTTTTGTTAGTAATTAAAATCATTTACTTTTCATTCCTTCATTCAGAAAACATATAGTGAACATCTATTAGAAGCCAAGATTCACAATGCATAATTTTAGTTATAAGAATCATAATTTATTTTTAGGGTAATGTGGTAAGTCATTCTTATAGACCGTGGCCGCCATTAGAAGATGGCGCCGGCTTCCACTGTGGCCTGTGATAAACAACTCCTAATATGGAGAGTTTGGCGCGCAATCCCTTACCACCCTATGAGAAAGGTCCACGTGGCAGCTTGGGATTGGTATGCGGGAGGCTTTATTAGGCTGTGCTTGGGCGCTCGGCGGGGGGTCGCTAGAAGATGATACTTGAATCAAGGCCTGAATAAACTGCTGAAAGAAGAATCCTGTGTCGTGTTTTCCCTTGCCCGCGAGGGGTCGCGACAATTGGTGGCCCATACGGGGAATTATATTCCTCGAACCCAGGATCCAGAACTTTCAGCAGTCAGGGTGGTGCACCGGTAAGTTCCCAGGTAAAGTGGGAATCCACAAGCTAATAGCGGGACGCTCCTCGGTAAAGAAAGAGAGAGCGGGAAAAGGGACGCTCCCCTGTAAAAGGAAGAGAGCGGGGAATTCATAGAATGGAACGCTCCCCTGTAAAAGGAAGAGAGCGGGGAATTCATAGAACGGAACGCTCCCCTGTAAAAGGAAGAGAGCGGGGATTTTTGTACTTTCACTTTCTTTATAGCTCTAAAAACATTATGGGCGCTACCTCTTCAAGCCCAATTTTGTTGGCCCTAGATGGGTTGTTACGTTCAAAAGGACTTAAAGTAAAGCAGAGCACTTTGCAGATGTTTTTAAGAGAAGCTGCCGGGGCCGGGGCCGCGGCCGCGGTCTGGGCATGAGGATGGCGGTGGGCTCAGTCAAGATGCAGCCGCCGTGCGAGAACCTGGCCCTGGCCGCGGCGGTGGACAGCGCTCTGCGCCGCAGTCCCAGCGCCCGCGAGCCGGAGTGCGAGCAGCCGCCGGCGTCGCTGCGGCCGCGGCTGAAGGACCTGCCTGCACTGCTGCGGAGCGGGCTCACGCTGCGGAGAAAGCAGAGCGCCGCCGGGGGCCGGGACCGGACGGAGCCGGTGTGGGTTCCAGAACGCCTGACAAGAAGAGTCCCCACAAATACATCTGAGTTAAATATAACCACTTTGGCCATTACTTCCCAGGTGTTAATTCCGTTGTCTCCTTCTAATCAGACCTCTAATGCCACTCATTTTAAGGCTTCTCCTTATTGCACCCCTGAGTATGGCTTCCCTCCAATATTCATGCCTTGTCAAGATCATTCTTGGGAGAAATATCAGGTCGCTAAAGGTTTCTCCCTTTCCCCCTCTCTTAAAAGATATTTGTATAATTCTTCCAACAATAATTCCTCTATAGGAGCAGGTTGGTCTTGGTTTCAATGGTTGATTTCCAATGAAAAGGGAGCCACAGCTGATATTTCCACTTTGGCTCAATTACGAGGAGTCCAAAGTTGGCTGTTTAATGTTTCTGGCAGTACCCAAGACTCGGAGCGAGGTAGGAGGCTTAGAATTTCTGCAAATAATTCACAATTATCTAATGCTACATTACCCTCCGCAGCAGTCTGTCTCCAATCTCCGTTCCTGTTTCTTTTGGCTAATGATACATCACAGGGGATGCTTAATTGTTCTAATGTTACCTGCTACTTGTCTGAGTGTTGGAATGGCTCCTGGACTACGGCAATGGTTATGAAAATTCCAACCTTTGTCCCGATCCCGGTTACTGCAGATCCAGAGTCTTTTCCTATTGTTGAACTGATTAGAGCCCGCAGAGATTTTGGAATTACGGCAGCTATAGTGACAGCTGTGGCGGTATCTGCTGCTGCAGCAGTTACAGCTGGAGTAGCCATGGCCAGCCAGGTACAAACTGCTGCCACTATTAATCAGGTTATTCAACAAACATCCACCGTACTTGAATCCCAAAGTGAAATTAATCAACACATTTTATCTGGGATTTTGGCTGCTAATCAAAGGATAGATCTGCTTCAAGCTCAAGTTGAGGAGTTGTCTGACCTAGTACATTTGGGTTGTATTGATCAACGTGCGCATTTATGTATAACCTCTGTCAGATTTAATGATTCCAGAAATGCCTCCAGCATCATCGGGGAGTATCTATCCGGAACCTGGTCCATGGAAGCAGAAAACTTGATCCAGTCTCAACTAACTCAGACTGCTGTTTTGAATAGTACCCGTGTCGAACCAGTGACTTTGGGTCAATTCACCAGTTGGCTGTCCTCTGCCTTTTCCTTTTTTAAGGAATGGGTGGGAGTGGGCATTTTTGGGGCAATGTGTTGCTTCGGTGTTGTACTTTGTTTGTGGCTTCTCTGTCGCCTTAAAGCTCGCCATGCGCAAGAGAAAGCTATGATTGTACAGGCTCTTGCGGCCTTAGAGAATGGCATTTCTCCACAAATCTGGCTTGCACATCTTAAACAGTGATTTCAGGGCATGGTCATTGCACCCCAAGTTAATTTCACATTGCACTGGGATTGGCGTGCCCTCTTTCCTATGCTTTCTCAGTGCTGAATAGCCCTTGCACTCTGCAGGTCTTGTTACCATTGCACGCAGATGGGTTTCAGGACTGGTCTTTCTTCTCGGCTACAGACTCTTTACCTTCCTCTGGGGTTTAGGGATTGTGTTGCCAACTTAAATTTTGTCATTATTACCAGGCTACCGTGTTATCCTACTTCTCACCGTCGTCACGATGCAGGATGCAAGGCAAGGCACCGCACTTGAGTGATCCCTCAACGGACCTCAAGGAAATCATGTCCTATTGCATGCGGGTTTGACGTCCACGCCCCGCCCTACGAAAAAAGGCGTCGGCTGATATGGGACCAGGTCTAGGGAAGGGCCCTCCTTAGGACTGAACCATACATTGCAGCCACTTCTGCACAGTGGGATAGGACCTCTACTTTCGCCTGCATTGTTTTATAAAACAGAAGGGGGAACTGTGGTAAGCCATTCTTATAGACTGTGGCCGCCATTAGAAGATGGCGCCGGCTTCCACTGTGGCCTGTGATAAACAACTCCTAATATGGAGAGTTTGGCGCGCAATCCCTTACCACCCTATGAGAAAGGTCCACGTGGCAGCTTGGGATTGGTATGCGGGAGGCTTTATTAGGCTGTGCTTGGGCGCTCGGCGGGGGGTCGCTAGAAGATGATACTTGAATCAAGGCCTGAATAAACTGCTGAAAGAAGAATCCTGTGTCGTGTTTTCCCTTGCCGGTGAGGGGTCGAGACAGGGTAAAATAACATATTGTTTTAAACATAAACAATAATCATATGCCAACTAACATTGCTCTAGTCCACAAAAGACCACTTATATAATGATGGTCTTTCAAGATTATATTGTCTAGATATCTTAAGTTCATGTAAGCATATGCTATAATCTTTGCATTACAATGAAATTGCTAAATAACACATTTCTCAGGTCACATCCTTGTCATTAGGTGACACACTATATATCAAAGGGATATAAGTAATATTGATGATTAATATGAAAATTTTACCAAAGATAGATTTACCTGATTCAAATTAATTTTTACAGTCTTTAACTCCACCTCTAGTGTCCTGAGAGAGATTTCAAGTTGTTGTTTCACTTCAACTTCTTTATTATATTGCTCTTCTTTCTTTCTTAAGTGTTGTTTAATTTTTTCATAAGCGTTATCAGCATTTCTTCTCTTTTCCTTTTCTTCTTTTAAGGCAAATCTACAGTTTAGTATACTTTATTTTAAAATGTATTTTGTTAAAAAATTAAAAGTTCATTTTGTGATCTTATTCTACATACAGTGATTTATTATCCAAATAAAATTACTATATTTTTGAACATTTTTCATTTCTAATTCTCATGTTTTTGATTTTTCACTTCAGTCGCCTCCAAAGGACATATACACTTGAAAACTAATAATAAAAGAACATTCTCTTAATTGATAAATTTCTTTTAGTACTAATTTTGCTGTAAAGTTATATACTCAAATTATCTTTTTAACAACATAGTAATTCCTCCTCAATTAAAAAATAATAATTTAAAGTTAATTAAGTTTGAAAAAAATTATTTATAAACAAGTTTATAAATTCACCAGAAATAAATTTTTATCTTCATGAAACTTTACCAGTGTCCCTAAAAATGATTTACAGTGTAAGATAGTACCTTCAGATGTATTCACACAACATAAATTTGCACATCACTATAAACCAAGACTAGGCTAAGGAGCCCAATGTCTATTATTACCTTTTTATATTTCTTTGTTGTATTACTTTCAACTTACCTTAATTATTATTATTTTTATAAGCAAATTAAAATTCTCCTTTGGAACAAGATAGGATCTAGTACATAATCTAATATAGAGAGCAATGTTCTTGGTCACACATGTATGGAGTTTCTGAAGGGCAGTGGAGATTATTGCTAGGCACAGTAGGACCTTTATGCCGACAAGTGAACTAAAGAAATCCATACTACTTCACAAAGAAGTCCCCCCATAAGAGTATTTAACCTGGACATAGAAGTATTAAATTGAAGTCCACAGAGCACTTTACAAGAGTTCTGACCTGGAGGGGGTAAACCTTGGTGCACTTCCCTTCTATTGCCTCAATATTACTGGAGTGAAGATTTGATGACTCTTGTTAGAAGGTTCATTTCATTTCCCATTACTCTCCCAACCTTAAGCAAATTTATAGAGGAACTTAAGTTTGGTGCTTCCATAATACTAAGAGTATTTGAAGCAACCTATGACACTACTCTTGCGGAGAAAGAAGGTATCCATATTCTTGATTGGCCTTTTGATGATGGTGCACGACTGGTCCAAATTGTCGATGACTGGTTTAATCTTGTAAAACTTAAGTTTCATGAAGAACCTATTTACTGTGTTGCAGGCCTTGGGAGAGCTCCAGTGCTTGTTGTGCTAGCATTAATTGAAGGTGGAATAAAATATAAAGATGCAGTACAATTCATAAGACAAAAGCAGCATGGAGCTTTTAACAGCAAGCAACATTTGTCCTAAAATGTGTCTGAGCGCCAAAGACTCCAATAGTCAGACACCTGTTGTATTCAATAAAACTTAGGCTATTGCCTTAAAAGTGAAACTTAGGATGGGGCCTAATTTGTTGTCCATATTAGCCAATATGTTGGTGTGGTGAATAAATCTGATGAAGCTTCCATAAGAACTGTTTTATTAGAAAGCAGTTTTACCAGGCCACAAGCTTAACAGGATTTCAGCCTCTATGTTTGAGTTATGATCAACCTATTTGGACACTTAGCAAAAGATTCTTGCTGTTCACAATTTAAAATGTGCTTATCATTGTGCCAGTTGATTTTTCCTGAAATCATGCGGTATTGAGTTAATGTCTTTAAATCTACTTCTATGCCAAATCTTATATAAGAAGTTTAGAAAGATAAGGTGCCAAAATGCCCAGCACAATACTTGTGTATTTTTAGAATCATAAAAACAAAATTCCGGAGTGGTGTGGCTCAAGCAGTAATGCGCTTGCCTGGCATGTGCGGGGCACTGGGTTTGATCCTCAGCACCACATAAAAATAAAATAAAGATGTTGTGTCCACCGAAAACTAAAACTAAAAAACAAACAAACAAACAAACAAAAAAAAAAAAACAAAAAAAACCCCAAAAAAAACCCCAACAAAATTCCAGGAACTAAGCACACCCTAGACTTTATGTGATTTATTCCTTCAGTCATTTAAACACTGTAAGGTTATTTGCCTGTTCACTTTATGTTTATATCTCCCAAATTCATATTGGTATGCATAAGGTTTGCTTTTAATCACTGCATTTTTTTGTTTGTTTAATTTTTATCAAGTCTTATGGCAATTATTTAATATCTTTTTGTATGTCTTAAATTTTGCTTTTATGGAAAACCTCCATTTTGAAAACCTAAGTTGTTCCAGAAACATATGTCTTTAATATCTCCAGACCAAACAACAACAAAAAAAGCCTTACAGTTAATTTAATGTTTACACTTGGAGGTGCAACTTAACAGGAAGGGTCTGAAAAAAAAATGGGAGAGGAGGCTATTAAATATTTTTAGTAAAATGTTGCCTTTGTCTTGTGCAGAATCTGTAGAATATATGCTTTTTAGTAAATATTTTTAAAAAGGTAGAGATACTCTGTTACTGTAGCTAAAACAATTCTTAATCATAAAATTTCTGAAATTCTTGTAAGGAAGGAAGGAAGGAAAGAAGTTTTTCATAATTATCAGAAATTCTGTACCAATTTTTTTGTTTGAAGTGTATTTTTTCTTCCTAACCTTTTGCAAAAATCAATCAATCAATCAATCAATCAATAAATAAAAGTACATTTCTGATAATGAATTGGGCAGACAGTTAATATTTTATATGCCTTTTGAACTGTGTCACTTAATATTTGGATACTTAATAATTTTGTTTTATTAAGTAATTAATAACTTTGTGATATATATTAATGTTAGTTCAACCATATATTTATATTGTCTGGAATGTGTGGTTACAGTTCTGTGGAGAAATAATTTGTCAGTGTTCACCAGCTTGTAAAAACTTGGTGCAAGAGTTTACACATCTAAATAAATAATAAAATGCATGTGTCATAAAAAATAAATAAATAAAACTGAAGCTGAGGTTCTAGCTCAGTAGCAGAATGCTTGCTTATCATATTCAAGGCCTGAATTCAACCCCAGAACCACCATCACAATTAAAAAAAAATTTGCGTTTTTAAAGATTTTTTTCTGTATCAAGAATAATGGCCATTTCATACTCTGTTGAAGGAATTAATGATATAAAGTTTCTTTAGAATTATTAAGAAATATTGATCAAAGACCTTTTCAAAAGTTTTTATATTTTAACCAAATAATTCTCTATTAAACAACAACTACAGAAAATGATTTATATAAAGTGTTCCTTGCAGCATTCATTGCAATGTGGAGAAAAAAAAAAAAAAAAAAAAAGAAAGAAAGCTTGTCCTGGGCTTTTCTTTGTTGGAAGGCTTTTAATTGCTACTTCAATCTAATTGCTCGACATTGGTGTAGAATTTCTATATCTTCAATGTTCAACTTGGGTAGGTCATATGTGTCTAGATATATGCCAATATTTTTGAGATTTTCCAGGTTATTGGAATTTGTGATGATACCTACCTCCTTTATCATCTCTAATTTGTTAATTCATCCCTTTCTTTCTTTTGGCTAGTTTGGGTAAGGTCTTATCAATTGTTTTTATCTTTCCTAAGAACCAATTCTGTTGCATTGATCCTTTGCATTTTTAAAATTCTGAATTTAATTAATTTTGGCTCTAATATTAATTATTTTCTGTCTTCTACTGATTTTGGAATTAGTTTACTTTTCTTTTTCTAGGGCTTTAAAGCCTTAAGGCTGAGTTCTACAAGACCTTTAAAGAAGAATGCCAATCCTCCTCAAATTATTCCACAAATAAAAAGAAAGCGAACACTTCCAAATTCATTATATGAAACAAACTGCATTCAAAAACACACTCCACCTATTCCACTATTCCATCAAATAGGTTTTATCCCAGGGATGCAAGGTTGGGTCCACATACACAAATAAATAAATGTTAAGGACAAGAATCACACAATCATCTCAACAGATGCAGAAAAAGTATTTGACAAAATTTAGCACCCATTCATATTAAAAATATTGGAGAAATTAGGGATAGGAGGAACTTACCTCAACATTATAAAGACTACAATGAACTGAAGGCCAACATCATACTAAATGGAGATAAACTGAAAGCATTTCCTCAAAAATCAGGAACAAGGAATACCCACTTTCACCATTCCTATTAAACAGAGTCCTTGAAACTCTAGCCAGAGAAATCAGGCAAGAGAAGGAAATTAAAGGGATACAAATAGGAAAAACAAGAAGTGAAATTATCTCTGTTTGCAGAGGACATAATCCTATATCTAAAAGATCCAAAATATTCCACTAGAAAATTTCTAGAACTGATAAACAAGTTAATAAAGTAGCAGGATACAAGATTAACTTACACAATTCAATCACTTTCCTATACTTCAATAATGAATCAACTGAGAAAAAAATTAGGAAACCTATTCCAGTTACAATAGCTTCAAAAAAAGAAAAAAAAAAAGAAAAAAAAGGGAATAAATCTAACAAATTAAGTAAAAAATTTCTACAATGAAAAACTATATAAATAGATGAGAAATAAACCTTTGACTACCCATCCAATAACCTACTTTCCTCCCTGGGATCTATAAGTCCTTTCAGATTGCATAAATTAGTTGAGTATATTATTTGTTAATTTCAATAGAATTGTTTTTGTTATCCTTTTATATCAACTAGTTTCAATTCGACAAGCCCCAAATCAGAACTTTACTTAGAAAATGTGTCTACAGGAATAATCTAAATGTCATTTAAAAAAATAAAGAAAAGTATGTAACATTGATGACAGAAACTGAAAAAGTGCTTAGAAGATGAAAAGACTGCCCACGTTCTTGGATAGGCAGAATTAATATTGTCAAAATGGCCATGTTAGCAAATGCTTAAGACAGATTCAATGCAATCCCCATCAATGTACCAATGACATTTGTCATAGAACTAGAAAAATTACTTCTAAAATTCATTTGGAAGAGTAAGAGACCCAGAATAGCCAAAGCAATCTTAAGCAAGAAGAACAATACTGGTGGCATTATGATATCAGATTCAAGTTATGGTACAGAGTCTTAGTAACAAATACAGCATGGCATCTACATAGACATGAAATCAAATGGAATAGAATGGAAGACACAGAGATAAATCCACATAGATATAGTCATCTGATACTCAGACAAAGGTGTAAAAAACAGACTTTGGAGAAAAGAGTCTTTTTAACAAATGGTGCTAGGAAAAATAAATATCCACATGTAGAATGAAAGCAGATCCCTATTTCTCATCTTATACAAAACTCAACTCAACGTAGATCAAGGACCTAGATATTAGATCAGAAACTTTGAACCTGCTAGAATAAAACATAGGCTCAACACTCCAACATAATGACATAGGCATCAACTTCCTTATTAAAAACTCGTAAAGCACAAGAAATAAAACCAAGACTCAATAAGTGGGTTGACGTCAAATTAAAAAGATTCTCCACAAATATCAGGCTAAGCGAAATAAGCCAATTCTAAAAACCCAAAGGCCAAATGTTTTCTCTGATATGCAGATGCTAATCCATAATGGGGTGGGAGCTAGGGAAGAATGGAGGAACTCTGGACTGGGCAGAAAGAAGTGAGGGTTGGGGAGGGGGTTTGGGGGTGGGAAGCATGATGGAATGAGACAGACATTATTACCCTATGTACATGTATGATTGCATGAATGGTGTGACTCTGTATCATGTACAGCCAGAGAAATGAGAAATTATGCTCCATTTGTGTCCAATGAGTTGAAATGAATTCTGCTGTCATGTATAACTAATTAGAAGAAAACAAACAAACAAAACAAAAGCTTCCCCACAGCAATAGAAACAAAAGTTGTGAAGATAAGAGTTTACAGAATGGGATAAAATCTTTGCTAACTGCTTCTCCATCAGGGGATATCCAGACTAAATAAAGAACTCAAACTCCACTCCTGCAAACCAAATACTTCAATTAGTAAATGGGCAAAAGTACTAAACAGACACTTCTCAAAAGAAGAAATAAAATGGCCAACAAATACATGAAAAAAATGTTCAATGTCACTAGAAATCAGGGAAATGCAAATCAAAACTACATTGAGATTTCATCTTACCCCAGTCAGAATGGCAATTATCAGAAACAGAAATAATAAATATTGGTGAGGATGTGGGGAAAATAGTACACTCATATATTATTGGAGGGATTGCAAATTACTCCGGAAAGCAATACAGAGATTTCTCAAGACTAGGGATGAAATCACCATGTGACCCAGCTATCCTAATCTTTGCTATTTATCTTAAAGAATTAAAATTAGCATATTATACTGATATAGGCATATCAAGTTATGGCAGCACAATTCACAACAGCCAAGTTATAGAACTAGCCCAGTAGTGCAACATTAGATGAATGAATAAAGAAAAAGTGGTGTATAGTCATAATGCATTTTTACTAGCCAAAAAGAAGAATGAAATTATGACATTTGACGGTATGTGGATGGAACTTGAGAATATCATGCTAAAGCTTTAATAAGCCAGATTCAGAAAGTCAAGGGTTGAATGTTTTCTCTCATATGCAGAAGCTTGACCAACAAGGGTGAAGGTGGAGGGAGGGAATTCCATGAAAAAAGAAGTGAGATCATTGGAGGAAAGGAAAGGTAGATCTGATGAGGAGTGAAGGGGGATGTAAAAGGAGAGGAATGATGTAATGAAATTGACCAAACCATGCTATGTACCCCCAATATTATGTATAACTTTAATGCACTAATAAAAACACACAAAAAACAGAGATGCTAGAGAGTTTGTTCATTCCTTCTGCCATGTGAAGGTACAGGAAGAGGGTAGCCATCTATGAATTAGGAAGCAGATCTGCATCAGACACCAAATCTGCTAGTATCTTGACTTTGGACTTCCCATCTTTCATAACTTTGGCAAATAAATTTGTCTTATTTATTAGCTACATACTCTATATCTTGTTATAGTAATCTAAACGGGCTATAACATCAAATATAAAATGAATAAAAGAGGAAATAGAAGATATAGAAAAATCAATGAAAATCAAACACTTTGAGGAAATGAATAAAAGTGAGAAGCCTGTATGTAACTTCCATGCTAAAAGTTGATCTCATAGAAATAAAGAATAGAACAGTGGTTACCAGAGTCTGTGTAGGGTTTGGAAGAGGGGAGATAGAGAATCATTAATGTGTATAGGCCACAGTTGGATAGGAGGAATCACTTTGTTCAGAAGTTCAAAGCTTCATGATTAAGATGTTAATTCTCCTGAATCTAATTCCCAGAAGGCCAGTAGGCTCTTTATTTATTTATTTATTTTTTATTTGACAAGTTAATTCTAAAATTCATATGAGTACTAAGATGTAGGTCAGTGGTAGAGTACTTCCCTAGGTTTGAGCCCCAGGAAGGAAAAAAAAATCACATGGAAATGCAAAGAATCTAGAATAGCCAAAATAACTAAAAAAGAACAAAATATGAAGGATAGGAGTGTTGATTTCAAGTAGTATAAATCTATAGCAATGAAAACTGTGATACTGGTATAAAGAAAGCCAATAGATTAATGGAATAAAATGGAAAGTTCGTAAGTAAATAAATATGAATATCCAAATAGCCAAATTACTTTTGACAAAGGCACAATGATGGTACAGTGGAGAAAGGATAGGTTTTTGAATACATGGTGTTGGAAGAAGTGGATACCTCCACAAAACGAACTTGGATCCATACCTCATACCCTATAGAAAATGAACTTGAAGTGGATCATTTGTATGAATATAAGACTTAAAACTAGAAACTAGAAAGTGGTAAGATCTCAAAAAAACCCCCACAAAAAACAAAAAACAATGTAATGTTTAGGATTGTTATAAAACAAACCAAAAAACTCCCAAACCAAACCCAAATTTTATTTGCCAAATAGTGAGGTTTCTATATGGCAGCCTTCTATATTGCCATTAAAACTCTGATAGAGAAGAAGATGCATATAATTGTTAAGATGTATTCATGGTTGATAAGTCATTTATTATTTTCAAGAATTTAATATTCCACAAGACTAAAGAAGTTCTCTTCTTTGCATATCCTGGAAGGTAAGTCAACAATTACAATTTTTTTTATTTAAAATAAGTCAGTCCTACATCTTTTATTTTCAATTGCAAATTTTAAATCTTCACTCCTGAACAATTCTGAAAATAAAATATAGTCAGCTCAGAACCACTAGCAGATAAAAATCTCAAATTAAATAAGCCCAAGTTATTCATTTTTTACTTTGAAATATTGACAAGTATCTTTGTATTTATATTTTACTTTTTGCTTTTAGAACAATTTTATATTTTGTAAGCATACTGATGAAAACATTGAGAGATCAGAAACATGCTATACTGGACAATGATTTAGAAATCATTCTGTGATTTAAAATATCCTTCTTAGATTTAGACAAATGTAAGATAAATTCCACCTGGAGTTCCCTTGAACAACTAAAACCAAAAGAATTCAGAGATTTTCTTTCTCATGGCTTTTCTTCGTAATTGTATATTCACTGAATAGACAGGGACAAAAATACCTTAGTCCTAACTTCATGCAACTATATTGCTGGATATTCAAAGAATATTTTAAACTTTTTATATTAAAATATTAAACAATTATTACAAAAATTCAAATAATGCAAATACATATCTATAGTATATAAGTAGTTCAAATAAATAATTCTTTAAAACAGAATTTCATACCTCAAATTGTGAATTTCTCCTTCCCATTCCACCTTTTCATGTTCTAACTGTGATTTCACTTCTTTTGTGCTTGACAGCTCCTTTTGTAGTTCACGAACCTTATTTTCCATTTTTTTAATTTTTCCTATAAGTAGTTCACAATGACTTTTTTTAAGTTCTATTAATCTTTTATATGAATGAACTGCATCCCAAAGTTTTAATAGGCTAACAGAATCTGTATCAGGGAGAAAACAAGATAGAAGTAAAACATATGAGTACATTTTGTCTAAAATGTACTATGCATTTTCACATTCACATATTAATATATGAACAAAAGTATACTGAGTGCCTACAATGTGGAGCACATTATATTAAACTCTGCAGATAAAACAGACAAAACTTCTACTCTTGTTTAGGTTAAAGTCTTGCAGTAAAGAAGACAAATAGTGACCATTATAAATCCAGAAAGATGCTATAAGAAAATAGAACTCTGTGATCACACAAGGGAATTTGGTCTACACTGGGCCGAGGATGATTTTCTTGTGGAAGAGATGGCTACACTTGAGAAATGAGGGTGAACAGGAAGCAGATAGGAAGAGGGTGAAGAAGAACATTAGCTCTATTTCTAGACAAGATGAATTAAAGGTTTTGCTTCATGTTCCCACCTGAAACAACCAAACACAAAACAGACAAACTATATCAAATAACAATTTCAAGCCAGTGGATTTCCTTCAGGTAAAGAAGACAATAATCTCTGATAGGAAATAAGTAAACCTTCTGAATATTCCTGTTTCCTGCTGTGCAAAAGCTTCTAGATCATTATACTAGAGGAACTAAAGTGAGTCTAACAGATTCCCTGAGTTGGGGTGATAAAGTCTGGTAAGTCTCTAAGGAAGAGAGAGACATCACAGCATAGAATATTGGAGAGGAAGGAGCAGTACAGAGGAAGAACCCTGGAGATCTGTAGGGGGTCATCCTTGAGTATTTGAGTAATGAACACCACATGTGTGCCAGGAAACTACCTGGGACCAAATGACAGAACATCTGGAAAGATTAGAGGAAACTATGCCAGGAAGAGTGTCATTCCCATCAGGCAGGTTATAAAAACTGGTAATTCTCGGGGCAATGGGTAATCAGAAAGATCTTGCCTGAGCAGTGAGGAATTAACTCTAAGTACTGTTCTGATATACCTAACAAATCATAAAAATAAAAAGACCAGGAAGGATCAAGTGATACGTAAGTAACCTAACTGAATCCCAAACTAAAATTCAAAAAGAGCCAGCATGAAAGATTTAATAAAACAGAAGAAAACCAAACAATCAAATTGCACTTTAGGGAGATGCAAGCTGAGAAAAATCAAACATTATGACAGACTAATCTAAACGGTGTGAGTTCACTTATGTGTGGATTTTTTTTTTAAGATTTGTAATAATACAAAAAAATTGCAGATGAACACATAGCCTAGAAATACTGAAAAAAAATAAGGAAAAGACATGACAGAATGCATAAAATCTAGGGAATAGTCTATTTTATCATTTGTTACCATAAAATAAAAACCTATTATAGAAAGTTAAAATTTATGAAAACTTAAGCATACAAATACAGACTGTATATGATACCATTTGGTATCAAGAGAAATGTAAACAGAATTAAAGATGTATTACATAACTGCACTATTGATATAATTTCATAGGCACTTCTTGTTGCTATTGTGAATTCCAGTGTAATAAGTATCCACTTAAAAGGCCATTCAATCTTAATCATATTCACAAAAGCAGTTAATTTTTCCAGTGAATTGCCTGTACTAGTAAAAAGTGACCTCTTGCATTTCTTGTTTATTTTTCACCATTCATAATACTTTTAACATAGAAAATATACATGGACTGTTTATGCTATCAGTAAAACTTCCAGTCAACAGCAATCTGTTAGTAGTTAAGGTTTTGTAGAGTCAAAATATGCACATAGATTTTTCACTATATCCAGTAATTATGTTACATTATAATGCTCTAAAATCTTCGATTAAAAGGTAGATAGTCAAACTGGATTAAAAACTAAGATCAAACTATATGTACCTATAAGAAACATACTTAAAGACACAAATTTGTTAAAAAGATGGAAAAAATATATACACTAATACTTGATAAAAGAAGGCTTAGCAGAAATGGCTATATTAATTCCAAAGTAGAGTTCATAGCAAAATCTACTCCCAGCAATAATGAAGGTCACTTCATAATGATAAAGGATTTAATTAATCAAGAAGACGCATAATTCTGAATGTTTATGCACTCAATGACATCTTTAAAGTATATGAGGCAAAAATTGATAGAACTGAAAAAGAAAAAAAGATAAAGTTCACAAGTATCTTCTGAGATGTCAAAATTCCTTACTCAATAAGTAAGAATAAGTGGGCAGAAAAATCAGCAAAAATGTAGTAGAGGGGCTGAGGCTGTGGCTCAGTGTTAGATCACTTGCCTAAGCATGTGTGAGGCACTCACTGGGTTCAATTCTCAGCAACGCATATAAATAAACAACAACTAAAAAAATAAAAATAAAAAAAGAATGCAGTAGACTTGAACGCATAATTCTTCTTACAATAAATCTTATAAAATGATTAAATCAAAATGACTTAAGCCATCCAAAGTGTGTTCCCTGATTACAAAGCAATCACAGTAGAAATCAATAATGAAAATATCTCTGAAAATTAATATTTAAAAAGTTAACACAATTTAAATAATACTGTTTAAAGAGGTAATGAAAACAGAAACTAGAAAGTATTTTGAAGTAAATGAAAATAAAAATACAAGATGGCAGAATTTGTGGAATGTAACTATTGCTGTACTTAAATGAAAATTTTTAGCACTGAATGTTTCTATTTGAAGCATCTCAAATCAATGGTCTTTGACTTCCACCTAAAACTAGAAAGGAGCAAATTAAACTCAAAGTAAGCAGAAGAAAGGATATAATAAACATGAAAACATATAATAAACATTTGCTATAGTCTGTTTTTATCTCCTCAAAATTCATATCCTGAAATATAATCCTAGATGTGATGGATTAAGAAATAGGGCCTGTTGAAGAGAGGGGGCACAGAACTCAAAAAACTGATTAGTCCTCTTAAAAACAGAGACACACTGGAGACTATCATGCAGAGTGAAATCAGTCAATCCCCCAAACCTAAAGGCCTAATGTTCTCTCTGATATGTAGATGCTGAATCACAATGGTGGGGGTTAGTGGATGTTCATTTGATTGGACAGGGGTGAATGGGGGGATGGGAGGGAGGATGGGAATGTAAAAGACAGTAGAATGAATCTGAAATAACTTTCCTATGTTCATATAAATACATGACCAGTATAACTCCACATCATGTACAACCACATGAATGGGAAGTTAAACTTCATGTATATATGATGTGTCAAAATACATCCTACTGTCATGTATAACTAAAAAGAACAAATAAAAAAAATCCACAAAAAAGCAGAGGTGCTAGAGAGTTTGTTCATTCCTTCTGCCACGTGAAGGTACAGGAAAAGGGTAGCCATGTATGAATTAGGAAGCAGATCCACATCAGACACCAAATCTGCTAGTATCTTGACTTTAGACTTTCATCTTTCATAACTTTGGCAAATAAATTTATCTTATTTATTAGCTACATACTCTATATCTTGTTATAGCAATCTAAATGGGCTATAAAATCAAAGATAAAAAGAATAAAAGAGGAAATAGAAGATATAGAAAAATCAATGAAAATTTAAATACTTTGAGGAAATGAATAAAAGTGAGAAGCCTGTATGTAACTTCCATGCTAAAAGTTGATCTCATAGAAGTAGAGAATAGAACAATGGTTACCAGAGTCTGTGTAGGGTTTGGAAGAGGGGAGATAGAGAATCATTAATGTGTATAGGCCACAGTTGGATAGGAGGAATCACTTTGTTCAGAAGTTCAAAGATTCATGATTAAGATGTTAATTCTCCTGAATCTAATTCCCAGAAGGCCAGTAGGCTCTTTATTTATTTATTTTTTATTTGACAAGTTAATTCTAAAATTCATATGAGTACTAAGATGTAGGTCAGTGGTAGAGCACTTCCCTAGCATGTACAAGGCCCTGGGTTTGAGCCCCAGGAAGGAAAAGAAAAATCACATGGAAATGCAAAGAATCTAGAATAGCCAAAATAACTAAAAAAGAACAAAATATGAAGGATAGGAGTGTTGATTTCAAGTAGTATAAATCTATAGCAATGAAAACTGTGATACTGGTATAAAGAGAGCCAAATAGATTAATGGAATAAAATGGAAAGTACGTAAGTAAATAAATATGAATATCCAAATAGCCAAATTACTTTTGACAAAGGCACAATGATGGTACAGTGGAGAAAGGATAGGTTTTTGAATACATGGTGTTGGAAGAAGTGGATACCTCCACAAAACGAACTTGGATCCATACCTCATACCCTATAGAAAATGAACTTGAAGTGGATCATTTGTATAAACATAAGACCTAAAGCTAGAAAAATTCTAGACAAAAGCATAAAAGAAAAGTTTTATGACCTTGTGCTAGACAAAGATGTCTTAGACATGACACAAAAATAAAAATCCATATATAAATTGATTTCATGAAAATATAAAACTTCTGCTCTTGAAAAGATATCATTAAGAGGACAAAAAGCCTAGAATTAAAGACAAAAATCACATGATTATCTCAATAGAAGCAGAAGAAGCATCTGACAAAATTCAGCATCCATTCTTCTTCAAAACACTAGAAAACCAGGGATAGTACGAACATACCTCAATATTGTAAAAGCTATATATGCTAAACCCAAGGCCAACATTATTCTAAATAGAGAAAAACTGAAAGCATTCCCTCTAAAAACTGGAATAAAGCAGGGATACTCTTTCACCACTTCTATTTAAGGTAGTCCTGGAAAATCTAGCCAGAGCAAATTAGACCAAAGAAAGAAATTAAAAGGATACAAGTAGCAAAAGAAGAACTCAAACTAGCGCTATTTGTTGATGACATAATTTGATATTTAGAAGATGCAAAAACCTCTACCAGAAAACTTTTAGAACTCATAAATAAATCCATCAAAGTAGCAGGATGTAAACTTAACACCATAAATCTATGGTGTTCTTATATATCAGTGATGAATCAACTGAAAAAGAAATTATGAAAACTATTTCATTCACAATAGCCTCAAAAAATAAAATATTTGGAAATCAATCTAAAAAAAGAGTTTTTAAAGACCTTTACAATGAAAAACTACAGAACACTAAAGAAAGAAATTGAAGAAGACTTTAGAATATGGAAAGATCTCCCATGTTCTTGGATAGGCACAATTAATATTGTCAAAATGGCCAAACTATCAAATGTGCTATACAAATTTAATGCAATTCCTATTTAAATTCCAATGATGTTCTTAATAGAAATAGAAAAAGCAGTCATGAAATTCACTTGTAAAAATAGGAGGCCCAGAATAGCCAAAGCAATCTTTAGTGAGAAGAGTGAAGCAGGAGGCATCACAATACTGGATTGTAAATTATATTTCAGAGTTATAGTAACAAAAATGACATGGTATTGGCACCAAAATAGACATGAATACCAATGGAACGGAATAGAAAACACAGAGACAAACCCACTTAACTATAGTTATCTCATACTCCATGAACGTACATTGGAGAAAAGATAGCCTCTTTAACAAATGGTGCTCAGAAAACTGGAAATCCATATAGCAAAATGAAATTAGACCCCTATCTTTCACCCTGCATAAAAACTCAATTCAAAGTGGATCAATGATCTAGGTATTAAACCAGAGACCCTGAGCCTACTAGAAAAAAACGTAGGTCCAAATCTCTATCATGTCAACTTAGAAACTGAATTCCCCAACAATACTCCTAAGCGCAAGAAGTAAGATCAAGAATCAATAAATGCGACGGGTGCAAACTAGTAAGCTTATTCACAGTAAAGGGAACAATCCATAATGTGATAGAGCCTACAGAATAGGAAAAAAATCTTCCCTGCATGTGCCTCAGATAGAGCATTAATGTCCATCAGATAAAACTTTTTTTTAATAGATGGACACAATACCTTTATTTTATTAATTATATCTATGTGGTGCTGAGGATTGAATCTAGTGCCTCACACGTGCTAGGCAAGAGCTCTTCCACTGAGCCACAACCTCAGCCCAAGAACTCAAATAACTTAGCACCAAAAAAACCCAATCAATAACTGGGCAAATTGAGCAGACACTTCACAGAAGAATTATAATTGATCAACAAATATATGAAAAAAATGTTCAACATCTCTAGTAATTAGAGAAATGCAAGTTAAACTACACTGAGCTTTCATCTCATCAAGTCAGAATGGCAGTTATCAAGAATACAAGTAGCAATAAATGTTGGTGAGGATGTGGGGAAAAGGTACACTCATATATTGCTGATGGGACTATAAACTGGTGCCACTATTGAAAGAAATATGGAGATTCCTTAGAAAACTTGGCATGGAACTACCATTTCACCCAGTTATCCCACTTCTCAGCATATACCCAAAGGATTTAAAATCAGCATACTATAGTGTTGTGACCACATTAATGTTTATAGCAGCTCAATTGGCAATAGCTAAGTTATGGAACCAATCTAGGTGCCCTTCAACAGAAGAATGGATAAAGAAGATGTGATATATATACACAATGGAATACTACTCAGAATGACTTTATAACTATCGCTGGTAATTGGATGAAACTGGAGACTACCATGCTAAGTGAAATAAGCCAATCCCCAGAAAACCAAAGGCTGAATGTTCCCTCTGACACTCTGACATGTGCATGCTAACTCACCATAAGCGGGGGGGGGGGGGGGGGGGGGAACAGAAGTTCAGTGGATTACATAAAGGGTTATGAAGGTTAGGGAGGAAGGATGGGAAAAGACAAGACAGTAGAATGAATTGGACATAACTTTCCTATTTTCATATATGATGCATGACCAGTGTAACACCACATTATGTACAACCACAAAAATGGGAAGTTATACTCCACATATAATATGTCAAAGTACATTCTATTGTCATGTATAACTAAAAAGAAAAAATAAAAAATTTAAAAAACCTGTATGATTTCTTTAAAATACTATCCTGAAGATAAGAAATATTATTTTACACTTGTTATGATTTTCTCTTCTATATAACACCACATCATTAAAAGAAAAAAGAGGATTAAAAAGTCAAGCTTCAAATTGAGGAAAAATTCTTTCAAAAAATATAGTCGATAAAGGAATCATATTCAGAATATATAACCAACACTTAAAAACTCAACAAGTAATAAACAACATAAGTTTTAAAATGACATTTATTTGAAAAGACAGTTCACCAAAAAAAGATACACAAATGGAAAAAAAAGCCCATGGAAAGATATTCAACATTATTGATCATGAGTATAATGTACAATAAACCAATAATGTATGGATAATAGACACCCATTAGAATGGCTAAAATTAACAAAACAAAACTGACAATACTGTGTGTTTGTGAAGATAGGGAAGAACTGAAACTCTCATATACTGTTGTTGAGAATGCAATGGTACAAATACTTTGAGAAAAATTTGGCAGTTTCTTAGTAAGAAAATATAAAGGGGCATTAGGAGATGTTCATGGGTGATTAATTTAACTCTCTTGATTACATGAGTTATTGTATATGTTTAATACATATGTCATAATGCATCAAATTCTACACTTCACATATGTGCAGTTTATCATATATTAATAACACTTCACTCAAGCCATTAAAACCCAAAAGTTCTATTGCAAGAACAAACATCTAAAATAGTGGTTATGACACATAAAGAAACAGAATAAAGCTGGAGGACTGAGATCTTTATCTTTATAACAATGAGAAGTGATGAGTGGGTTTTAAGGAAGGAGTTAAAATGATAAGATCTGAATTTTTAAAAATAGGTAAATATAGTTTCAAAGCAGACCACCATGGTTTCAGGAGGTGGGGTGAGCAAACAGTTGCTAAGATTATTGCAGCAGTACAGATACAAACAAAAGTTTTTTGACCTGTCTATGCTCAAGACACAGAAGCAAAACAAAGTTAACAAAAAAGACTGCAGTACTATTCATGCTAAGAAAAGTACAGTGGGAATTACTGTAGCTCTTTGACTCACAGTGTGTATAAAAGTTCTCATTTTTAAAAAAATATATTTTCAGTTGTAGGTGGACACAATAGCTTTATTTTATTTATTTATATGTGGTGCCGAGGATCAAACCCAGGGTCTCACATGTGCTAGGTGAGCACTCTATTACTGAGCCACAACCCCAGCCCCTCATTCTATTTTAATATAAAGCATATTTCTGATATGAACAGCACTGTAACACATCAATGTTTATGGTGCAATGCTAAGCAACGTGTGTATATATTAATATAATATACAAAAAGGCCCTATATTTATGCAATGATCCTACCTTTATACTCCATTCTAAGTTGTTCAATTAGCAGCAACATATTCTCATAACTAGGGTAAAGCAATTCATAATCCTCTGAGGCTGTTTCAGACGATTGAGTTAAGTCATCAAGGTCATCCATAGCATTTATTTTTTGGGGGGCCTATAAAATAAATATTAGTATTTCAAAATGTCCCCTCTGAATATTTAGACCATATACTAAATTTACAGAAGTGACAATTACTCCTAAGTTTTTCTTTTATTTTTTGGTACTGGGGACTGAACCACCCAGTGGTGCTTTACCACTGAACTACATACTCAGACCTTTTACTTTTTTATTTTGAGCTTAGGGTTTAAGTTGCTTAGGCTCGCCTTGAAGCTGGGTCCTTTTGCCTTGTCCTCCTGAATCACTGGGATTACAGGAGTGTGCCACCCTGCATAACTATCCATGTTATAATATGAGCAGAAGCACAGGTGCTTCTTAAAAGAACTGACTTTTGTCAAAAGGATACCTTTATCAATAGCCACTATTTCTTAATCACTTTTTCAAAGGAAATATGTATATATAACAAAAGATTCTCTATTCTTTCACTTTACTTTTTATAATGTATCTGTAAATTTATATTTTTATAATGATTAGCTTTTACAATACCTTTTCCTTTTCAATAGATGCTTTCTTTATGGGCCTAAAATAAAAGCATAAAATCTTTATAGGCAAATATTAAATATGTAAAATACAAAGACTATCTGAACTGTTATCATTTTATAACATATTTGCATTTTAATTTTATTTTTTCCATTCACAAAACTAACAGGTTATTTAAAATATAATAATTTTCTATAAGGGGATTCAACTATAAACAAAGAGTAACAGAAAGGGACAACAAATGATACTATAATAATATCATAACAAAGAATTAAATTTAGGTCAAACTTTGATCAAAGCAAAAGGAAAAAACATAAAGTTACTTTATAGAAAGAAATACATAAGGTTTTTTTGTTACTGTCATTTTTAATAAAAGCGAACTTTTATGGGCACTAAGACATATTTAGAAAATATCGCTAAGTCCTTATGTAAGAAATCCTTTTAAAATCATGATAGAAGTTAATTTTTTCAGGACCTACTATGGAATTGGTAAGCATTATTTTAAGCACTATAAATGTGTTTTAAGCTCATTTTAATGCTCATAATAATTCTGAGAGGTAGGCACACATTAGGTATCTTATAAAGGAAGAAACTAGGCAAAGAAAGGTCAAGAAACTTGCCTGAGACCATATAGCTAATCAATGGCAAACCCAGAATTCAAACCCAGGAATTCTGGCTCTATAACATGTGTTTCACATGTGTTTTGAAACAAACATTTATCTTCAAGTGCTTTTAAGTGATACAATAGCAGATTAATCTGCATAATCATTTCACTTCTGGCTATAATTATAAACAGTAATTTCTTTCTTTTTCCTTTTTCTTTTGGTACCAGGGATTGAATCTAGAGGCGCCAATCTCTAGGACACATCCCTATCTCATTTTCATTTTTGCTTTTTTTTTTTTTTTGAGACAGGGTCTTGATAAGTTTAGCGTCTTGCCAACTGCTGAGGGTGGCTTTGAACTTGCAATCCTCCTGCCTCAGCTTCCTGAGCCACTGGGATGACAGGTATGCACCACCGCACCTGGCTAATAATAATGATTTCTGAATCTTGCAAATATCTTTTTCAAAATAGAAATATTTTAAACCTAGGCAATTTTGAAAATCTACATTCAATAAACCAATGACTGATTTTTTCCTAAGGAAATTAATGATTCATCATTCATCTTTCAACATAAACTTATCAAACATGTCAGTGACACTGCTGGTATATGGAAACAGACTTTTTATACTTTAAAACTTTATATTTCAAAAGTAATAATCCATGCTAGGTTGTTAGTATTTTACTTTCCTATGTACATAAGCTAAATCCTCCCCATTTCCCCAGAATTTAAACAATTATTAAACTGACACACCTGATATTTTAGACTAACATACAAAATAATAGCTATTTATGATGACAACTATCCAAAGCACAAGGTATGATTACCTTCTATTTAGTGCAACTTAAATGTTTGTATATTTTTTTTATTACATAATTTAAAAAAATCTATGTGTGGCAATTAACTTTTGGGTCATTATTTCCATGCTCCATTATATTAGGAATACCACTTCTGAACCAATTCATGATGAACAACAATCTCTTATCATAAAAAAAATACACACACACATGAATAGAAGTTCTAAGAACAATTAATTTACTATAAATGCTCAAAAATAATATGTGAAGCTTTCTAATACTTCAACATGCAAACATAATTGAATAAATATGTCCTTTTCTGCTGAATCATTTCCAAAAGCATGCAAGCATCCACTAAAAACTTCTATTTTAAACAAAAAGAACTCTCTTTAATTCCATATTCTTCTTAGTTATTACTGACTTTTCTATTGTCTTTCCAATTAAGAATTCTTTAAGTTATTGTCCATACTTATCTATTGCAGTCAGGTTTCCATAGTGACCATTTATTGAAATTGCTCCTTGTCAGTCACTTGTCCTTATTTTAATCAACTTGTTAGCAGTGTGATATCACTGAGCATTCTCTTTCTGCAGACCATGCTATACTGTTTTATTTCCAGAAAAGTAATCACTGTTAACATTCTTTCACAAGGAAATAAATTTATAGATTTTACCTTTCTTCATCCTGATCTATTTCACTTAAGTGGCAACCATCCTTTACTTGTATTAGACCACCAGTTAATGAATCAGCCATCTCAAATGCTGGTGTAGTCACAGATTCTTTGGAGGTATGTTTTTCATTTTCATTTTTCTTTACTTCTTTTTTTCTTTTTTTTAAGGCAGGATCACTAATTTAAAAATCCATTAAAAAGCCTGTGTTTAGTAATAATTCTACTGATAAACAATAAAAAATTCCAAATCTTCCTCATTTAAATTCATTTATTAATTCAGAAAGTTATGAAGCACCAGTGAATAAAATAAAATGTATATTCCCTGCTTCAAACAACAAATAAATATACAATTATAATACAAAGTGTTACATAATAGTGGACATATGAAAAGTTATTTCTACATACAAGGAAGTTGAATAATATCTTGAAAGCCAAGTGAAGAAAGTGTTTTAGAGGAGTTTTTCATTGGGTCAAATATTGCTGACAGGTTAAGTAAAATAAGGTGGAAGAAATGATGTCAAGAGTTATTAAAGTGAAAATCAGTGGTGACCTTGGGGAATATAATTGTGGAGGAGTGGCAGGAATAAAACTTACTGAGTTCAACAAGGAATGGAGCGCTGAGGTTGTAGCTTAGTGGTAAAGCATTTGACTAGCACAAGACCATAGGTTCCATCTTTAACAACACACATACACAAGCACACACTAAAAAAAACTGTTTATAGAAATGCAATAAGCTAGATTTGCTAATCCTTGTGCTAAAACCCAAGTGTTAATGCAGTAAATCTTTAAATATACCATGTATGCATGTAATTATCTTTTTTATTTTATTTTAATTTAGTTCATTTGTTTATTTATTGGTACTGGGAACTTAACCCAGGGGTGCCTTACCACTTGGCTACCTCCTCAGTATTTTTACTTTTTATTTTGAGGCAGATACTTAGGGCTTCACTAAGTTGCTGAGGCTGTTCTCAAATTTGAAATCTTCATGCTAGCATCCTGACTGGCTGGAATTACAGGCATGTTCACCTAAGTCCAACTCATTATCCTTTCTAAAGATGATATATTTCAATATGTACCACACCATATATTTCAAGTAACTTTATATACAATTTATAAAAATTCAGTTTATAAAATGATTTTTTGAATTTTCCTGCTTATATTCTTGTTATAGAATTCAATAATTTAAAATGAAACACTATTTTCTATATTTGAATAGTATAAAATACCTAGAATTAGAAAATTTCTTATGAAGCAAGAAATACTGTCCATAAAACTTTGGTCTATTGATAAAAATGAGCAAAGTGATTATCAGATATAACTAAGACATTTTCAGGGATATTTTAGCTTAGTTTAAGAATTTATTATTTAATTCCTTGGTCTAATAGTTTTTTAGTACCATATATATGTAACTTAAAACACTTTAAAGTGTTAAAATATACTATTAATCATTATATAAGGATTGAAAAATTTAGGTCATTCCCAATGCCACCTAGCTGTGAAACCCTTGAAAAAAGAGTCCATACTTACTGACTTAGATGTTTTGTAGTCATTCTTTTTTTTTTTTTGCTAAGCTACACCCCAGCCCCTGTCAATAAAGTTTTATTGGAATTTAATCTCACTTACTCATTTAATGTCTATGATAGATTCTGGATTACAACAGAGAACTTCGGGTCCACAAGACTAAAATATTTACCATCTGGTTCTTTATGGAAAATAAGTACGCCAATTCCTGATTTAGTATAGCAAAAATTCTTTGATGAAAATTTTAATAGGTTTTATCTAATATACTGAAGTACTGATGGAACAAGGATGCCCTTAGCAATTTTCAGATTAATTTGAGAGTCAAATATTTAAGCACTAGACATTGTGAACAAAACCCCAAAATCTAATGATTATTTTTTTGGTAATAAGGTAGAATGTGAATATAGCATGTAGCTTCCTTCTGCAATTTAACAGATTATACAAGTGTTAGAACAAAATTTGACTAGAATTTGTCATCAAATTGCTTTAAATACATTTTAATTGTGCACACTATAGATATAACCTCATTTTTAACCATTTTATACTCAAAATTTTTTTCCATAAAATTATAAACTATTTCCTCATTGATGAGTACTTAACTATCTCAAACTTTGATGTGACAATGCTATAATAAATCTTTAACATTTACATACATGTATTTGACACATTTATATAAATATTCTTTATATGCTATGGTCTTTGTTTACATTATATATAATATGTATAATAGTAATGCAATACCTAGCATGTTTATCATAATGTATTTATATATGTGTGTGTGTGTATGTGTATGTGTGTGTGTGTGTGTGTGTGTATATATATATATATATATATATATATATATATATATATATAAAAAAAAAAATTATGTGTCTAACAAATGTGTGAAAGCATGTAATTACAGCTGGTTTTCCTGTCCCAGAGGGATCCAGTTAACAGAAATGAAGCTGTTAGGTTAAAATAATGATATATTTGAAAGTTTGATACATTATACTTAACTAAATTACCCTTCAAAAAGCATTTCAACGTTTCAAAAAGTATTTACCAATTTCCTTTAGAAATAGAGCATGATAGAATGCCTTTGTCCTCACATTACTCAACTCTAGTTATTATTTTTTAAGAAAATTTTTATTAGTTTAATTGGATGATAGTTATCTTATATTTATTTTCATCTTTCTGATATCCAGAATGAATATCCCTAACATAGCATAAAATTTGTCAACCACAAATATTAGCCCAAATTAGAATTAGTTTTACAGGACAGCAACTGTTATCTCCTGTTAAACAGTGCCATAGTCTTACCCTTCATGTTTTTTATTCTCCTCAATAGGAAATTTCTGGTTATCAGTTTTTTCATTCTTTCTTTGTTGAATTAGTCCATCATCATTATCTGTGGCAGCAAAACCATCAGATAGGGTTTCTGATACTTCCATTTCATTACCTTTGTGCTCCTTCCTTTTTTCTTCCACCTGTAATAAAAAGTTCTATAATAAGGGTGCCTGTTACTTTTCAATTAAAAAAAATTGTTTTCAATGATTTTATCAATTGACCCAAGTTTGTCATGATTTCAGTCAATAAAAAAATTTTGTGCTTACTTTGATTTTTATCATCACAGGTCATTGAAATTTTAAAAAATTCTGCTTCAATTCTATTTGAGAACAGAATTTTCCAAAAATTTCACAAAGGGTCATTCTTAATTTTATGTCTTGTATTTTTATCAACACTTTTTTATCTAACCTAGTTTGTATTCCTTGTATGATTGGCAGAAATAAAAAGGAAAACATACAAAATATGCCTGCCCTCTTCTGTGCTTACTACATGGATTTCACATTAAACAGCTGGATTTAGAAAATTTCATGTGAGGCTTCAACACCAGATGGAGTAAAGGGAAACTGCTGAGTTGCCACTACGGAATTCTGGAAAATGAGATCCTTCCAAATTTCATATTCCATAATCATAAAATTTTATAAATGAAGGTTTTAGCCTCATTATCTACTTTTAACAAAAGGTTTTTCTCCCTGCAAGGCGTCTAAGTGGTATTACACAGGATTTTATGGAACCTGAAGAAACGTTACAATTCCATAATGTCAGAAAAAATAAGTTACTGGATAAGATCATCAAATTAATCATATAGAAGTGACTTTGCCAAAGTAATTAAATGTCTTTGTGAGGGATGGAGAACCTCATTTAATTTTTCTTTTAAACATATCTCCATATTTTTGTTCATCTCATATTTCCACCTTTCTACCCTGGAGTCAAAAACCAAATTTTTGGCTGAAGGTTTCTGCTACTTATGTGATTTCATTCATGCCAAAATTTAACAAACTTTATAAAACAACATATGTAAAGGGCTGATTAAATAAAAACATTTGAGAGTGGTGATAAAAATATAAGGACCTTTATATATTTTTAAAAAATATTTAAAGTGCTCATGTTGGAATTATAAACTGGAACAGTATGAGTAAAATAAATATAACTGTGCACACGAAAACAAAACAAACATATAAGTTTGCTGGAAATATTTATTGCAACTCTCAATCTACAACCTTTCTCACTCATTTCTTTATTTATCATTATGTTTACATAGGGAAACAACAACTCAAACTTACTACATTTTTTGTAACTTCTATGCTCATCTTGGTTTAGAAAGTCTTATTATAGTATAGAGCTAAATTAGTTTCTTAGTTCATATGTTACTTGGAAAACTGAATGACTAAAGATAATTAAAGAATAAAGATTATGAGAATATTTTCCTGAACTCTTGTATTTTAGATGGGAGAAATAATTTATTCCTAAACATAATTTCATATTTATATAACTTCATTTTATAAATGAGCTTTTAATAAGCAGAAAAATCAGAATATAGCTCATAAAGAGAAAAACCAAGAGTACATGCTTTTGAAATAACTTTATCCTTAAGTAATCAAAGGGCATGGGCAAAGAAAAGTTAGAAAATAATTAAAATTTAATTGTTGAAGTTCTTAGTGTATATTCAGCTACTCCCAAATCACTGGACTGTAACTAAGAAGTGAAAAGTAATTCATGTTAAACATTTAGGAGAAAAACATGAATGAACAAACTTAACTTTGTCACTATTTGTTTGAACTAAACAATTTATTATGCTTTAAATTTATCAAAATGAACTGATGATTTTTAATATTACAAAGTCTTCATTACATAAAAAGATTTTACTTCATTATACTTTAAATAGGGAGGGCTTATTGTACATTTAAATCCTTTTACCAGTAACTGGAAAGCCAATATGAATAAATACCAAATAGAAAAAAAATCCTAAATTTTAACTCAAGTGATATATTATGATAGTTTTATGCAATTATATGGATTGCGTTAAATCTCATTCTATCATATTCTAAAGTCCACTGAAGATAATGGATAAAAATATTTTTATAATATCTACTAACTTCCCACATTGAAATAAAATAAGTTAAAATGTTACTGTTTGTACTCTAAGACCAAAAGTTCCATTCTAGAAGAAATGATTCACTTAACAGGCAGTTGGGTTGATTTTATGACCCTGTTTTCTCTCTTATCACAGACACTGAAATAATAGAGATCAGAAGGCAAAATGAAATTTTTAAGTATGGTATTGGCATATATAAAACTACAAGTTTTGAGCCACTGAGAATAATCATCCCTTAACATGAATACAATTCAGTGGTCATCACTGAATTGTTATATTGTTCATAACTTCAGCTCTCTCATTTAAAAACTCAAATTTGATCTTACCTTTTTTATTATGTAAAGGTGATTTTACAAATGGAAGCTCAAACAATCTTCAGAAAAATTTTGCCTAAATTCTATGAGTAAAGTTTAGTTATAAATTATTACAGATTATAAGAATATTTTGTTTATAACTAGTTGTAATGCTTTTAAAATTAAATATTAAGTTATGATCTACTGACTTTAAAAGGCTAGTCTGAAAAATAATTTTATTTAGCCTATGCTACCTTATTAAAGCAAAATAATATTAAACTAGAAATTTAAATTTTTACATACCTGTGACTGGTTATTTTCACTGCCATCAAGCCTTTTTTGCTCTTCTTCTGATGTTACTTCTAAGTTTGGTTCTGTTTACAAATGTTAACATCAACTACTTAGAAAAATGATAAAAAAGTAACAATCTTTATAAAAATAGAAAGTAATAAAAAGTTAAAATAAGTTTTTATTTCCCTACATACAAATTTAAATTATACTTAATCTTTAAGTGAATATTTACTTCTTTTGGAAAAAACTGTAGTAATCTAAAACTTCAACAAATTGGAGACACTAGATTTTACCACATTCAAAGCATACAAACAACTCAAAAGATTCATCCACAGATTCATTCACTCAAAGTAAGTGAATAAATCCCCAGAATTAAAACTTTTAATCCTATAGTAGTACATAAATTTGCATAACATATTATTCTCTACCCAATAATAGTAACTTTTAAACAACCTGCTGAACATTTTCTTCATCATTATGGCTTCCAACAGTACTGTTACTTTTCATCTTTATCAGTAAACACTTTGTTCCTTATTTCTAAAATGTTTTCATTCACTGTTCTGACAAATTTCTTCTTTTATGACTCAGTGTGCTAGGTGAAGTCTTCCTTAATTGTGGTTATTATTCCCTACATGAACAGCTATTAACTTTCCTAAGGGCTACTGTAATACTTTTATCAATTTTTTATTGTATATTTACTACTTGTATTGTAAATTATTTCTTTCCATATCTATCCCTTTTGCTCCTAGGCTGTAAAAATAAAACAAACAAACAAACAAACAAAAAACATGTTGTGTCTGAGTAGGCAATCTTTAAATTTTTCCTACTTAGCCTAAAAGTTCTAAATATGCTGGGCCCCACACTTAAGTTTATGCTAAATACTAGGCTAAACAAAGTTATTCCTTCTCCTAATTCTTTTTGTTATTTATATGTAAGGGAAAGAATACATTATTTATATGTTATGTTAGGGGAAGAATCCACATGCCTTGTTAAAAGGTATTCTGTTTGGTTGTAGGTAAGAAGAATAAAACACAAGGTAAAAACTATGGTATCGCCAGGCACAGTGGTGCCTGCCGGTAATCTCAGTAGCTCGGAAGGCTGAGGCAGGAGGATCTCAAGTTCAAAGCCAGCCTCAGCAATTTAGCAAGGCACTAAGCAACTTGGTGAGACCCTGTCTCAAAATAAAATACAAAATAGGGCTATCTGTGGCTCATTGATTGAATGCCTCTGAGTTCAATCCCTGGTACCAACAAACAAAACACTACAACAAAACTATCATACTAGTCTGGGTGTCCAGAAAATGTGGTATATATACACAATGGAGTTTCATTTAGCCAAAAAGAAAATAAAATTATGGCATTTGTAGAACAATGGATAGAACTAGAAATGATCATGTTAAGTGAAATAAGTTAAACTCAGATTAAGGGTCCTATGTTTTTTCTAGTATGCAGAAGCTGGAGAGAAAAAAAGGAAAACAACATTGGGAGTGGATCTCCTAAAAATAAAATTACTAGACGCCAAATTATAATGTTATATCGTTTGCATGTACAAATACGTAACAAGAAATTGCCTCAATATATACAAGTATGATATCAATAAAAAATGTAAAAAAGAAAAAAGCACATAAGGAAATTTTGCCACAAAAAGATTTTTGAAAAGTCAGAACTACAGTAATATGAAATCATGCACAGGTACTCTATAGTTGTATTCTCTATGTTTCTTTATTACTTTCTTTACTCTCTTTGTTTTCTGCCTTCTGTGATTCACATGAGGAGAATAATTCCTTAACAGAAACATGGCCCAAATATTCATCTTTTCTTTATTGGTTAAGGTTATCTTTCCAAATTCTATGGATGGTGACTGATTTTTAGTCACTGATTGTGATACAAAGGGATATTTATCAACAGGTTTCATATTACTAGATCTTTTTTCAGATTTTTATAACTTTTAATTTTTTTTATTTGTTCATATTAGTTATATATAACATTAGAATTTATTTTGATTTAATAATAAATGCATGGAGTACAGTTTGCTCCAATTAAGTATCTAGTACTTACCTTTATCTCCCCCGCACCCTGCTCTCTTTCCTAAACACTAGAGATCTATTTATTTACTTTTTTTTTTTTAAATTAGTGTCTTTTGGATATATATAATAGTAAGATTCACTGTAAGATTCATATATGTACATTGGAAAGTTAGGTCAGATTCATTCCACTGTTTTTAATCTTACCCTGTCTCTTCTCCCTCCCCCTCAATCTACTACTACTCCCTGAGCTTTCTTTTATTTTGATGGCATTCATCCCTCCATTTCGTTCCTCTCACTCTCCCCACACAAAGTTTAGAATAGCTTCTGTATATCAGAGAAAACATTAGACCCTTGACTTTCTGAGTCTGACGTATTTTACTTAGCAGTATAGTCTCTCAGTTCTATTTACCAGCAAATGATATAATTTTGTTCTTTTTCATGACTGAGTAAAACTCTGTTGTGTATATATACCACATTTTTTTAATGCATTCATCTGTTGAAGGGCACCTAGGTTGGTTCCATATCTATTGTGAATGATGCTATGAACATTGATGTCGCTACATTCTTATACTATGCTGCTTTTAGATCTTTTGGATATATACCAAGGAGTGGGACAGCTGGGTCATATGGTGGCTCCCTTCCTAGTTTTTTGAAGACTCTCCATACTGGGGAGTGGTTGCACTAATTTTCCACCAATAATGTATGAGTGCACCTTTTCCCCCATATCTTCCCCAAAACTTATTATTATTTGTATTCTTGATAACTGTCATTCTGATTGAAGAGATGAAATCTCAATGTGGTTTTGATTTGCATTAAATTGCTAGATCTTTGACAAGTCTTATTACTGAGGATCAAACTAATAGAACTCTGATCTGAAAATTTTAAAAATAAGGTTTTAATATATTAGAACATAAATGATGATAATAGAAGTGAAACCAACTTATGCAAATTTTTTCTTCAGAGAAAGTCCCATGTCTACCTGTACCCCACATACATCTATTCCTTCATGGCTTATTGTATTTTATATATCCTGTACTTGCCATTCATTTAGATAAGTTTAATTACTTATTTATCATCTCCCTATTTTACTACATTTTTATTTATTGGTATTACAGTATTTTGTGTTTCACTCAGTCACCACTATCATATTTTGTTTTCCAAGAAAGCATTATTTTTCATTAAGATTCTTCAGAAATATGAATTTTGTATTAAAATTTAGGTCTAATTATTCTAAATTTAAATATGCATGATAGTATTTGCATTATAAAAACATGGGCTTTAATGAATATACCATTTTATATAGAAAATATACTTTAACTACAATGAGATAGCCTTTCTTTAATGCCTCACAATTCACTTTTAAGTCTTGGATAAACACCATAAATTTTTACAAAAAATGATAGCTTTAAGTGATGTAATTGTTCCCATTTTTCAATGGGAAAGGGTAATAAGTCTAGGTACACAATAATTCATTCAAAAAATCCAATGAATATAGAGTGACATGAAATAGGGATGCATAGATAATTAAAATTTCTTTTTTTTTTAAATAGACAAAATTGTCAGATTTAAACTTTTTAAGAATGAAAGAAAAAGAAATACAGAAGTGAAACTTTAAAAGCCATTTCATCAGGCTCCCTTATCATTTGATATCCATGAACATTATACATAGTTTAAAACTTTGGTACTAATCGTGATCTGAGAATCCCTGGAATTCAGCATCTGTTCCAGGGGTCCAAGAAGTCTAATTAATACTAAATGTTATTTGCCATTTTCACATAAATGTATAGTGTATATCCAGAGACATGTATATTCAGACATATGATGTGTCATAAAAACATAGTTCTAATGGCTAATGAGTCAAATGTAATGGCTATTGGAAAGTATGACAGTGCATGCTTATTTTTTAAATCTTTCAGATATAGTTTCTAATATAGTAAATTTTGATAGATACAATCCACTTAAATAAAAGCTCTTTAGAGTGTAAAAATTGTTAATACTACAAAAGGATCCTAAGACCCAAAGTTTCAAAATTAGTTTTGAACTGTGTGTACCAAATAGTTATTAAAATGTGATTACTTTACCCATTATTAATAATCAAACATACAAAAACCCCAAAACATACCCAAACATGCTTGCACACAAACACAGTCTGTTAATCAGATCATCTGATTGGCTTAAGATCACCAGTATTAATAATACTAAGAAAAAAATAAAGTTAAATCACAATTGACGTGTTAGTAAGTAAAGCTTCACTCTAGGAAAACATCAGAATCCAATACATTTCTGGTTTTTTTTTTTTCCCTAGAAGAGGCAGGATCTTGCTATATTGACTGAAGTAAAAAACTCTTTTCAGAGACACACTGAGGAGCTGGAATTACAGCCATGAGTACTGTGCCCAGCTCTCAATAAGCATTTTTTAAACTTTGCAAAAATCTTATAATCTCATTTAACCTCTGTGAATTCTAACAAGTATAGGGATTCCAAATTGGGAACTTTAGGGTACAGCAATGTAAAAATAGAAACATCTGAATTAAAGCTTATACTAAATTTTTCATGCTTTTTTTCAAACATGAACCAATAATTACATTTGTATTATTAAATCTTTCCATCAAACAGAAAAAAATTTGGGAATAAGAAGACTCAACACTTCAAATAGTTTAATGTAGTTCTTTCCAGAGTAACTTGTATTACAAAGTTTACCTGATTTGAATGTTTGTACATCCTTCATTCCTATTGCTTTGCTCAGAAGAGAATCTTTCATTTCACTGGTAGTCTGGATGAATTTTGAAATAAGATATTTAATAAATAATGTTTACTGCATACAGCATGTAGTTAATAATTTCAAGATAAAAAAAATAAAAGATATTTACCTTTAATTGAGGATATTTCTCAGGAGATTCTAAATAGCAAACAGGACATATAATCAATTATATGTAAATATGACAAAACCAACCACACATTTTTATGCAGGGTTAGTATGGAGCTGAATCCCCATGCTTAGGTTTGGAAATAAGTTTTTTTCCCCAGTGTTTGGATAGCAATATGAAAAATGTATTGAAGAAAAAATAAGAATATAGGTTTAACAAAACATGCAGTTAAGGTTTCAAAAGTGAGATTATATTTCTAATGACCATAACTAAAGTAGAAGTCTGCTCATGAACCAATGTGAACATGCTGCCTGAGGGATAGAAAAATGATCTCTAATCAGAGGAGCAAAACATGACACTGACAGGATGTCAAAGCTGATGGCAGAATGTAACAGCATAGGCCTTTAATGTAACACATTAGAATCATTTGTACCATTATACTACAAGTATTTATCAAGTCCCTCAATTTGTTCTGTATTTAGGAAGTACAAAGTTGTAATAACAGTTCAGTAATGCATAAATTTATTTCTCAACAAAGAAAGTTTTCTGAAATTATCAGCTTGGATATATACTTGTAGAATAATAGTTAATAAAAATATTCATTTTTTTCCATACCCATGTTGGCTACTGGTATGCCTACATTTCTTGTTTTCTCTAGTTTAGCCATCTTAAAGTTTCTTGATCCACTCATGCAAGATGGTATATAAATCATATCTAAGAAATAAGGTATAACAAGTTTTAATATTGAAATATGATTATCAAAAAAGAAAAACTAAATTGTCACAGAATTATTTGATATTAATAACCTTTTATATTTCAAAATCAGTGCTATATTTACTAAGAAAAAAATTTTGGTATTCAAGGAATTAATTCTATTGTCTCTTGTGTCCAGAATTAATCTGGTTTGGTGTATCATGCTGATCTTTAAAGGAATTTATGAAACAACTATTTTATCCCAAAAATGGCTTTAAGAAAGGCAATGCTTCTATACTCAATTAATTTCATTTGAGTAAATAATATTAGTGCAACATACATCTTTAATGCCAGATAGTTAAAGAATGGAGAAGTAAGCAGCTGTAGTTTACCCAATTCTCAAATTCCCTACTGTTTCCAATAATCTCTGAGACAACAATAATCTAATTTGTGGTTTGAGTGAAAATACACTGAAGTCACCAGAATTGAGTTTTCTCTAGTTTCTGCATTACCTCCAAAATGTTTGTTTCCTTTCTTATTTCCTCTAAACAATTCCTCTTCTTTTCAAAAATACCTCTAAATTCTGGTCTAGATTTTCTCCATTATATATATATTTTTAATGAGTTATTCCCACCACTTCTTTTCTTTTTATTTTGCAGTAGTATCTTAGAATTATATCTATTTCATCTTCCCTTTGATCCTTTCCCTCTGGGTAGAAAACATGCTGAGAAATAAAAACAAAATCTATACTTTCCCTTGACCCTGTAATGTCTTATATTATTATGAAATGGCTAGTCCTAGATTTCTCTAAAGTGAAGTCTATGTCCTTGCTGTTCAGAGTATTGTCTGAGGACCAGCAGCACTGGCATCACCTTAGACCTTATTAGAAACAAAAAATTACAGACCTGCTGAATCAGGAGTCATACTTTTAAAATGGTCCACAAAAAGTGATTCATGAAAGCTTGAGAAATTATGGTCTGAATTAATTCCCAATTCCTTTACCTTAATTTACCATTTTAGATTCCAGCCTCAAGTTCATCCCTATCATGTCCTCTAAAGTCATAAATTTTCTAAAGGTTTTATCAGACTATGGCTTTTCTGATCTCTCCAGAGCTAATCCTGCTCTTTTCTTCTTTACAATTCTCTTCATTTAAAAAAAAAATTTATTGTTTTTTTTTGTACATGACAGTAAATAATATACATCCATGGATGAATATATATATATATATATATATTCATTTATGGTAAATAAAACATAGCTCTGTATGATGAGTACTTCAATCCTTAATGCCTTCCCAACAGTGAGGAAAATGGTGAGAGGAAAAATTTTGCTTTATTTCTCAGTCAAACTTTGTAACTGGAACCTTACTTTATATTCATCACACATTTTGAATACTCTGCTCTTCATTTTTCCAAATTACTTTATTTTCCCACTCTTCACTATGTACACCTGCTTCTTTTCCCTTCATTTACTTCCCATACTCTCTGCCTTTCTTAATTCTTTCCCTAATCTCTTTTCCATTTCCTTATTACTAACTTTCCTTATGTCCTAAAGTATCTTGAAAAGGAACTAATAATTCAGCTCCTTTGACACTCTAAATTTAACCTGCTGCTGAAACTTGATAAGACATCTATTTACTACCATTGCACTTTTTTTCCACTTACTATGCATTTAACGAGTAAATTTCTTTGGCTATTAGAACATGTCAGTACTCATGTTTCAAATAAACACTTTGCCAAATGACTTTTTAATAAAACACAGCTCTTACCTTCGACTTGTCCATTGATATTGTTTCCTCTTTCATGCACAGCCCCAGATAAATGACTAACACCCTTTTGTGGAAGCCTCTCAGAGATACTCTAGTGAAATTAATATTAAGAATGAGTTGCATAAAGATTTCCTAATCATTTTATAAGATAGTTAAATTTCCTATTATAAAAGCAATTACATTTTAATATGAGAGACATATACATTAAAAACCAAACATTTCAATAAAGAACTTCATATACTTTGTTTAGATCAATACTATCTCTTATCCTCATATGGATAATGAGTAGATAAACTAAGCTTGGAAGGCCAGAGGAACATATCAATAGATAAAATACTAACAAATGTGCATACTTCAAAAAGAAACTAACTCCAGAACACCTAACTCTACTTTGCATTCCTTACCAAATGTAAGAGAACATTTAAAAAATACATATTTAAAAAAAATTCTTATAAGTACACTTGCAATGATACAGCATGAAACACTGCAAACACTTCTAAGGACAAGAAATAATTTAGTGATACTTGGTATGATAAGAAACTTCAGAGTGTGGCATGTTGAATCTAAACAAAGCATTGTAGAAGCTGCTTCATTAATGTAAACATGGATTTAGAAAATCTAAATATTTTTTGTAAGGTTTGGTGATGCATGTCTGTAATTCCAACTATTAGGGAGGCTGAGGCAGGAGGATCACAAGCTGGTGGTCAGCCTGGGCAACTCAATGAAATCCTGCTTCACTAGGAAAAATAAGAAGGGCTGGGGAATGTAGTTAAGCAAAAGAGTATTTTCATAGCATGTATGAGCCCTAGGGTTCAAATCTCTGTTACCATAAACAAAAAACAAAACAAAAAACTAACAATAAGACATAATAAAAAGAAAAAAATCAAATATTTTTTGGTAAATTTTTACTTATAGGAAAAAATGGTTGAATAAAATTGACAGAGTAGGAAAAAAACTTATCTTTATGCTATGTTTAATAGTACACAAATACTAGATACAGTATTTAATCCTTTCTCAATTTAACAATGAATTTTAAAAAGAGTATAGCAAGTCTTAATAAAAAGGGATGTATAAGAACATTTACTAAGTGTCTAAAATGTGCCTGGCACTTATTTGTACATTTTCTTTTCTATGTATTACAATAATAATAATGATTATGACAACGATTATCTTACTCCCTGCTTTCCCTGACTGAAAGTAAATGATGGACAGATGTGATTCACTGTTCTTTCAGCAATATTCCCCTCCTAGACATTCACATGGTTGGCTCCTTCCCATCCTTTATAAGCTTTAGAGCAATCTATACTTCAGAGAGATCTTAGTACAAAATTTCATTCCCATATCCATTCCACCTACAAACTCCCTCAGTATTTTTTAAATAAGCATTCTCTATTTACTTTATATGAAATACATGATTTACAAGTATTTATTGTTTATGTTTTTTTGTTCTATCACTATAGCATAAGCCCTTATCTGGTGTATTCTGTATAGAACTGCCTTCCACATAGTAGACAGTTAATAGCAGAAAATTATTCAAGGTCAAAACATTTACAATCTCATCAGAAGGTCTCAAGCACCAAATCACTATATTCCTATATAACATATCCAGTAACAGTTTATTGAAACTTACCATTTTAAAATTAGAAACATATATACTCCCTTCAACTTTTCCACTATTTTCTTGACACTTACTATTTTATTATCCTCATGTTTAAAAACAAGTCTCTATATTTAATAAGTCACTGAACACCACTGTGATCATTCTAACAAATAATCATTTTGTCTAATAAATATGAACACATTTCTTAGTTTACAAAGTATTTTCACATTTCTTAACCATATTTGTTCATTGAATATATCTAAGAGACATGGTACCATTTTTATGGTACTGTGAGGCTACTGACATCATAATAGTTTAAATAAATTTTCCAAGATTTCAGAACTACTAAATGACAGAACCAGAATATTAACATTTTTTTTTTTCAACTTCAGCTACTCTGCTGGTACCATTATTAAGCAGCTGCTTATACACAAGAAATCAGGTCTTTCCCATCTCTTTCTGCAGTGGTCACTTTAAAATAGTTTATCACTGTTTATACTTATGTTATGGCAAGCATGGCTGACATAAAGGTATTCAATAAATTTTATTTAAAAAATGGTTTGTATTTAACTAAAACATTAGAAAATCAAACTAACTATAGTCCTACATGTATAATTCTTCATGCTTTTCCTCTCAGAGGCTGAAACATTCCTTGTAGATCTATTCTTGACAATCCATATATAATAATACTTTCACGTTCCACTTATCTAAGCTACAAAAAATTATAGTCCAAATTTTCTTTCTGAATCACATTAGAACCTTAACATATCCATATATAATACAGAGTCACATAGGTCATAGGTTGACTTGAAATAATTCATCAGTATTTAGATAAAGTTAATTTCAGAACCCAAGCTGATCCCCTGTGATTTCTAAGCTTTAGTTTTTGACACTACACTACATTGGCTTCATTAAATAAATCCTACAAGTTATCAGAATTTTAAAGTGCAGTGGTAATGTACTTATTAGAACTAATTACTTTATTAATTATAGGTTAAAATGTGAGGAAATTATTCCTTTTAGGCATATGCAGATGTGAGAAAGTAAAGTCAAAGCCCCCCCCACCCTTTTTAAGAAATGTGATAATGTTTATTTTCAATACATGGGTTAAACAATAAATTGGAATGAACTGATGAGAAGATTAGTGATATGGAAGACTAAGCAGAATAGGTGTAACCAAATATAATACAGAAAGAAAAAGTCAAAGAAAATACAATTATTGTTACATATTTGATAAATCAGAAGGAATAAAACACATAAAGTTTGATCATTAAAAAATGAGGGATGAATAATCATCAAAAAAGTAATGATTTATAAGTTTCTAAAATTGAAAACTAAACATGATACTTCTTATTCAGAAGTATAGTAGGCATTAAAGAGTTGAATAAGTAAAAATAAGAAAACAAAAGTAGTCAAACTAACAACAAGAGAAGGAAAAGGCTTAAAATCAGTAAGAAAGAAAACAGATAACCTACAAAGATGACAGCAGAATTCCCACATTATTAAGGATACACTATAATTTAGAGAAAAAAAATACTAGGATTTCAGACAAATATAATGTTCAAGCTAGAACTGAATAATTAGCTAAATCATTTTTAGTAAAACACTTGTAAAATATTTTCAAAAGTAAAAACCAAGAACTTTAATTTCCACAGAAGATTTTAAAGATTATACTTCAAAAAGAAAAAAAGTTATTCAATATGAAATCTGAGAGTCAAAATACAAAGTAAAAAAATTCTTAAAAAACCCATGGGAATATCAAAATATGGTGAACACTGATTTTAAAAAAATCCATAAAACTTTGGTAACACAGGTTTAACCACATTTAGATATATTAAAGTATGATTCCAAATATTTAAAGTAAATCAAATGGTAACTCCTGTGCTATCTGAGTAATCTGACTGATGACAGTATAATTTATTAAGACAACTATTTTAATCACTAATTTAAAAAGATGGCACTTCTGTCATATAATTTGTAAAGTACTGATTATCCTTTTAACAGAGTGGATGAGCCATCAAAGGATTGACAGTGGAATAAACATAAAGCATCCTATTTAATGTTTTAACATCACTCAATGCTTATTCCAAAAATAATAACAACAGACAATACCTCAGAATCCCATGGTGATTCTTCCTCTTCCTCTTCTCCTAATCCTAATGCAGACATCAGATCTATAAAATGTATAACAGATACAGTAATAATACTTATTACTGAGAAATTGAAATATATGTACAAGTCTATCTCCATTCATAATATTTCAATAAAATAAAATGGAAGAGCAAAAAGGAATTTCAGAAGATTAATGCAGTTTCAAGAAGAAGTTGGTTGCAGGAGAATGACAGCAAAAATAAAATGTAAAAGAAATAGGCATCTTTTCTTGAATCTACACACTTTATTCTTTATAACGTTTTTTAAATCTAGAAAAATTTTCATAGATATTCACTAACTTACCACTTTTACTCTTTTTGTGTCCTGCATCAACATAAGTCAAATTCCCATTATTTGTTTGATCTTGCGAAGCACTTTTAGTACCATTTTCTTCTTTTCCAATTATTGGCTTTGTTGCCCCTTCCTGTTGAAAAAAGAGGAAAGAAAAATCAAGTTGAGAAAACATGTTAAACAACAAACATTTATTGTATCTATTAAATCCTAAGCACTATCATGGGATAAATTGAAAATAGAAAAGATTCCTTCTATTATCACGTAGAGACAGAGATATATAGAAATAATAAGAATAAAGTATAATTTATTAGTTCTACATTTGAAATGCATGCAGTTAAGCGCAAAAAGAACAGAATAGTCAGTCCTACCTAGAAAGCTCTGGGAATGCTGCAAATACAGGGTCTCATTTCAAAAGAAATACAAACTACAACGTGAGAGTGTGAAAGTTATTCTAGACAGGACAGCAAAAGAATACGGCATGAAATCACACAACAAATGAAGAATAGTGAAGTAACGTGGTAAAACTGGAATACTAGGTTCTAGGAATGGGATTTAATAGATAAAACAGGAGGATCAGGGCCAAAGCACAAAAAATATGTGTCATGCTAGAATGTGAACTTTCCCCTTCATGTATGGGGATCTATTTAATAAGCAGATAAGTTTTAGCATTTAAAATGTCACTTGGGCAGCAAAGTATAGTTAAATGAACATTATGGCAGAAGGGAGAACAAGAGAAATATATTTCAAAATGACAAGTGAGAAGGTGAATCCCAGTAATATGATATAAAAAATGGTAAGCAGAATATACAGAAGCAGTCTGGTGGTTTGGGAGAGAGATTGAGTTCAAACTTTCTTAGCTTTAGTGTTTCAGTGCTGTTTACAATGTGATAATTACTACAATGGGGAAATGGATGACAGATTAATATAGAGTGAGCAAAGGGTTACATTAATGTCTAAAGATGAGAACATATAAAATTTAAGGCACTCAGGGGACTTAAATGCCATAATTGAATAAATACATTCAAAGTAGAAATATATGACCTCAATGAGGAAATGCATATGGACCAAAGAAATAAAATTTTGTAAAATATACTAAACTGTTATAATTAAATAAAGCAAACCTACATAGAACTCTGAAATTTTACAAATGAACAAAAGAGGTTGAAAAATGGGGGACCACATTTTCAAATATATATATCAACACTTATTTCAATGATATAAAAACATTCTCTTATTGATATATGCAAATACTTGTTTCTGGGATGTACTAATATGCATTTTTTAATCTAATGAAAATATTTAATTCTAAGATACTAATTCAAGATGCTGCAAGAAGACTCCCTTTTAACGAAAAATCCTAAGTCTGGCATGGTGGCACATGCCTATAATTCCAGTGACTTGGAAGGCTGAGGCAGAAAAATGAAAAGTTTGAGACCAGCCTCACCAACTAAGTGAGGCCCTAAGAAACCTAGTGAGATCCAGTTTCAAACTAAAAAAATTAAGGAGCATTCCAAGATGGCGGGCAAGAGGAAGGCAGCATTCTGTGTCACTCTTTGACCCAGTTCTCACCTAGTTGGAATATTGCATCTCAGAGAGTGTAAGAGGACCCCCATACAACTGATTTCTGTAGAAGTCACCAGCATTGTGACCCCCACACAGAGCTCAGAGCCTCAGCATTTGAGTAGGACTCTGGAATACTAGGTTCCTAAACCCAAAGCCCACAGTTCTAGCCCATGCACGGCTCTCAAGCTGCTTAGCAGAATCACCTATCAGCACATCTGCAGAACTCCAGATTGTGATCCGCTCCCACGCAAGTCACTCAGCTACTACCTACCTACAGCACAATGTCATCTCCTGGTTCCCCCCACTTACCCAGATACCCTGGTGATAGAAGCAGACTGCCTCTTCTTGAAACCTTTCTCGCCATTATTTGGTGGGGGCAGCTCTCAGATCATATCTCCATCTGGCCAGGTACCAGGTATCCAACTCCCCCCACCCTTGGTGGCAGTAACTTGGCACAGTGACCACCCAACACAGAAACAGCTCTCAGTTGGGCAGGTGTGGAGTGTGACCACTTGGTGTGAGCCTGGGTGTGGGAGATCCTGCAGTTGGGAACTTCTAAGTGAGAGGGAGATAATACTGGCTGCTCAAGTCAGACGAGAGGTCCCCAAAAAAGACCCGTGAAGTGCCATCTCCCTGCAGGAACTGGTGAGTGGCACTCCCCGCTTCCAGACGCCCTACATCAGGACCAGTCTTCCCATCCTGGTTATCTACACCATCCTGAGGGCAGAGACACCAGCTTAGAATAGACAACCCCACCTATTGGATGAGAAGAAAAACAGAAAAGATACAGATCTCTAAAACTAGAGATTTCTAGTTTCTTCTTTCGAGTATTTTTTTTCTTTCTCTTCTACCACTCTATTCTCCAGCCCTCACATCCCCAACATATGTGAAACCAAGAACTTTGCATGAAATAGGACTTTGAGGACTGAGTTAGCTGAATAATATAATATAGAGGGGTTGTATATGTTCTTTTGTTTTCTTTCTTTTTTTCTTCTTTCATTTTTCTTTCCTCCTCCAAATATTACTATTTTAACATCCTGTATTTTTCTAAATACATGTGTGTTTGTTTTATGTACTCTGTCTTCCCATGTACTTGTGTACCCTAAATTACTTCCTGTCTATTCTCTTGCTACTAACCCTCTTCACTAGATTTCTTTTTCACATTTCTTAAGATATATTAACTCTATATCCTCACATCCTTCCTCCTCAGCATATTGTCCTATGCCCCACCCCAGTGTCTACCGTCAGAAATTGTAAACCTTTTTATGAAACTACTGATTATATTTTAGATAATAATTGAATCCAACATGTCTCTACATTGAGAGTAAACACCTTAATAACAAAAAAATTGTTCTTAGATGATATATTGTTGATATTGGGATCTGTTAACATTGTCCTTCCCCACAAAGGAGGGATCTGGGAACCCTACAAGAGCATTACAAATGTATAGGGTAAAAAAAAAATAACACCCCAGACCCACAGAGCTGGAAAGGAAGACACAAAAGCAACATAAAAAGACAAGGGAACAAAGTACCACAAACAAATCAAGACACCACATCATTAGAATCATTGGCAGCCACAGCAGGAAAAAAATGACAGAGAAAGAGTTCAGGATATACATGGTTAAAATGTTCTATGAACTCAAGGAATATATAAGAGAGCAAATACAAGCAGTGAAACATTACTGACTTCAACAAGGAACTGCATAAACAAAGTCAAGAAGAAAAGGATCACCTCAACAGGGAGATAGAGATTCTAAAAACAACAACAACAACATTAAATTAAATTAAAAAAATAAAAACAAACAAAAAACCCAGAAATCCTTGAAATGAAAAAAACAATAAACCAAACTAAAAGCTCAAATGAAAGCATCACCAACAGAGTAGACCACTTGAAGACAGGACATGACACAATGAAGATAAAAATATATAATCTTGAAAAGAACATAGAACACACTACTATAAAGGTAAGAAACCATGAACAGAACATTCAAGAAACATGGGATAGCATAAAAAGACCAAATTTAAGAGTTATTGGGATAGAGGAAGGCATAGAGGTCTAAATCAAAGGAATGAACAATCTATTCAATGAAATAATATCAGAAAGCTTTCCAAACATGAAGAATGAATTGGAAATCAAAATTCAAGAAGCCTACAGGACGCTGAAAGTACAAAATCCCAAGAGATCCACACCAAGGCACATTATATAAAAATGCCCAACACACAGAATAAGGAGAGAATTTTAAAAGCCACGAGAGAAAGGAGTCAGATTACATACAGAGGAAAACCAATTAGGATAAGAGCAGATTTTTCAACACACACCCTGAAAGCTACAAGATCCTGGAACAATATATATCAAGCTCTGAAAGAAAATGAGTGCCAACCAAGAATCTTGTATCCAGCAAAATTAAGCTATAGATTTTAAGATGAAATAAAAACCTTCCATGATAAATGAAAGTTAAAAGAATTTATAGCTAGAAAACTGGCACTATAAAACATCCTTGGCAAAATATTCCATGAAGAGGAAAAACAAAACAACAATTAAAATCAGCAGAGGGAGGTAGTACCCTAAAGGAAAAACTAATTAAAGAAGAAAATTGAGTCAAGTTAAATAACAAAAATAAACAAATATGACTGGGAATACAAACCATGTCTCAATAATAACCCTGAATGTTAATGGGTTCAACTCACCAAACAAAAGACATAGGCTAGCAGACTGGATTTTTAAAAAGATCCAACAATATGCTGCCTCCAAGAGACTCATCCAACGGGAAAAGACATACAGACTGAAGGGGAAAGGTTGGTAAAAAGCTACCACTCACATGGACTGAGGAAGTAAGCAGGGGTTTCCATCCTCGTGTCAAATAAGTAGAGTTCAAGCAAAAGTTAACCAAAAGAGATAAAGATGGACATTACATACTGCTGATACCAATACTCTCCAATTTATTTCAGGAAATAGAAAAAGAGGCAGCAGGTCCAAACTCATTCTATGAGGCCAATATCACCCTGATTCCAAAACAAAGCAAAGACACATCAAAGAAAGAAAACTTCAGACCAATATCTCTAATGAACATAGATGCAAAAATTCTCAATAAAATTCTGGCAAATCAAATACAAAAACATATCAAAAAGATAGTATATCACAATCAAGTGGGGTTCATTTCAAGAATGTAAGGTTGGTTCAACATACAGAAATCAATAAATGTAATTCATTACATCAATAGACTCAAAGATAAGAATCATATTATCATCTCAATAGATGCAGAAAAAGCATTTGACAAAATACAGCACCTCTTTATGTTCAAAACACTAGAAAAACTAGGATTAACAGGAACATATCTCAACATTGTAAAGGCTATCTATGCTAAGCCTCAGGCCAACATTATTCTAAATGGAGAAAAATTGAAGGCATTCTCTCTAAAAACTGGAACAAGACAGAGATGCCCTCTTTCACCACTTCTATTTAACATAGTTCTTGAAACACTGGCCAGAGCAATTAGACAAAATAAATTAAAGAGATACATATAGGAAAAGAAGAACTTAAATTAGCACTATTTGGTGATATGATTCTATACCTAGAAGACCCTAAAAATTCCACCAGAAAACTTCTAGACTTAGTAAATGAATTCAGCAAAGTAGCAGGATATAAAATCAACACCCATAAATCAAAGGCATTTCTGTTCATCAGTGACAAATCCACAGAAAGGGAAATGAGGAAAATCACCCCATTTACAATAACCTCAAAAAAAAAAATTGGGAATCACTGTAACGAAAGAGGTGAAAGATCTATACAATAAAAACTACAGAACCCTATAGAAAGAAATCAAAGAAGACTATAGAAGATGGAAAGATCTACCTTGCTCTTGAATAGGTAGAATTAATATTGTCAAAATGACCATACTACCAAAAGCACTATCCACATTTAATGAAATTCCAATCAAAATCCCAGTGGCATTCCTCATAGAAATAGAAAAAGCAATCATGAAATTCATCTGGAATAATAAGAGACCCAGAATAGCTAAAGAAACCCTTAGCAGGAAGAATGAAGCAGGTGGCATCACTATACCAGACCTTAAACTGTACTACAGAGCAATAGTGACAAAAATAGCATGGTATTCGCACCAAAACTGACTGGTAGACCAATGGTACAGAATAGAGGACCCAGAGACTAACCCACAGAATTAGAATCATCTTACATTAGACAAAGGTGCCAAAAGGGTGCATTGGAGAAAAGATAGCCTCTTCAACAAGTGGTGCTGGGAAAACTGCAAACCCATATGCAACAAAATGAAATTAAATTCCTATCTCTCACCATGCACAAAACTCACTCAAAGTGGATCAAGAACCTAGGAAATAAACCAGAGACTTTGCGTGTAATAGAAAAAAAAGTAGGCACTAATCTTCGTCATGTGGGATTAAGCCCCAACTTCCTTAATAAGACTCCTACAAAGTTAAAACCAAGAATCAATAAATACGATAGATTCAAACTAAAAAGTTTCTTCTCAGCAAAAGAAACAATCTGTGAGGTGAATAGAGAGCCTACATTCTGTGAGCAAATTTGTACTCCTCATACATCAGATAGAGCACTAATCTCTAGGGTATATAAAGAACTCAAAAAGCTAAGCACCAGAAAAACAAATAACCCAATCAACAAATGGCCCAAGGACATGAATAGACATTTCTCAGAAGAGGATATACAATCAATCAACAAATATATGAAAAAGTGTTTATCATCTCTAGCAATAAGAGAAATGCAAATCAAAACTACTCTGTGATATCATCTCACTCCAGTCAGAATGTAAGCCATTATGAAGAGAAACAACAATAAGTATTGGTGAGGATGTGGGGAAATAGGTACGCTCATATATTGCTGGTGGGACTGCAAATTGGTGCAACCAATATGAAAAGCAGTAGGAGATTCCTTGGAAATCTGGGAATGGAACCACATTTCACATGGCTATCACTCTCCTAGGTCTATACCCCAGGACTTAAAAACAGCATATTAAAGTGACACAGCCACATCAATGTTTATAGCAGCACAATTCACAAAAGCTAAACTGTGGAGCCAACCTAGATGCCTTTCAATGGATGAATGGATAAAAAAAAAAAAGTGGTACATATACATAATGGAATTTTACTCAGCAATAAAAGATAATAAAATCATGGCATTTGCACAGAAATGGATGGCATTGGAGAAGATAATGCTAGGTGAAGTTAGCCAATCCCCTCAAAAAAAAAAAAAAAAAAGCCAAATGTTTTCTCTAATATAAAGAGGCTGATTCAAAGTGGGGTAGGAAGGGGGTCCATGGGAGGAATAGATGAACTCTAGATAGGGCAGAGGGGTGAGAGGGAAAGGGAGGGGGCAAGGGGTTAGCAAGGGTGGTGGAATGTGATAGACATCATTATCCAAAGTACATGTATGAAGACATGAATTGGTGTCAACATTTTATATACAACCAGAGATATGAAAAATTGTGCTATATATGTGTAAAAAGAATTGTAATGTATTCTGCTGTCATTTAATTTTTAAAAAAACTTAAAAAAAAAAAACTGTGGAAGAAATGCTAACTACAATAAAAGTTTTTGTTAAAAAAATAAGAAAAAATTAAAAGGGCTGGAGATATGGCTCAGTGGTAGAGTATCCCTGGGTTCAATTCCCAGTATCAAAATAAATAAGTAAATAATCCTAAAAGTTTTAACTTATAAACTTAGACATGGTGGGTCACATCTGAAGTCCAAGATACATGGAAGGCTGCGGTGGGAGAATTACTTGATCCCAGGAAATTGAGGCTAGCCTAGGTATACAGCATGACCCTCATCTTAAAAACAAAAGAGAAATGATTATGTGATTATAGATCAGGTATTTTAAAGTACCAGTATGATGTAAGGAAAAAGTATAAAACCCAGTTTTAAAATTCACATGGTTTCCCTATAAACAGTATACTAATAGTTCTAATTTTCTATTTATACTATGTGGAATGGGGGTTAAAAATTGGAGAAAGTATAGACTATTAAAAACTTTTCCAAGGTGAAGATTTCTAAGTCTTTAAATACTTTTCAAATACTGCTCAAATATTTGTTAATCAGGATCCAATATTCATATGAAGAAGAAAACAATTTAAAAATATCTAATCATCAGAATTATTAGGCTTTAAAGATAAAAGAATTTACACATAAGGTTTAACAACTATGAATATTTGGGCTGGGATGCAGCTGAGTAGTAGAGCACTTGTCTAGCATGTGCTCAGATCTGGGTCCAATCTCCAGCAATACAAAGAAGAACCTAATTAATATAATCAGAAATTTAAATCAATGAAAACATTAAATAAAATGCTTACTTATTTGTTCTTTATTCTCTGTTGGTTTCTGGGGATCTAAACCAAGGCCTTGCACATGCTAGGCAAGTACTGTGTTACTAAAATACATACCCAACCCTATTAATTCTTTATTCTCAAAAAAGATCTAAAACATGGGTCTGAGAATGTAGCTCACTGGTAAAGCACTTGTCTAGCATGCACAAAGAGAAAAAAAAAAAAATCCAAAACAGTTATCAAAATTATATACCCAAACAGAAAGATAAATTAGATAAATAATACTAAGTTAGAAACTATAAGAACAAAAAAGTAAAAAATTAGTAATTCATAATAAATCTCAAGAGGCATAAAACAGATTTCAGTTTGCATTATATATGAACACAGGTTTTGCTGAATTAAATATAAGATATCACTTTGCTAAATTTAAAAGCAAGAATTAAATTTTCTTTCAGTTTCTCATTAAAATCAACAATAAATCACTCAGAAAAATCTAATTTTTATCATATTTTACAACAGTTTCTGGTCTCATTTAATACATGTGTTTATAATGTCTTTCCTCTTAACTCTCTTATTTAATCTTGATAGTTATCTTGCCTTTCTTAAGTGAATTCTTCCCATAAGTTCCCCTTCTCAGTTTCATATTCTCTTGGGTTGCTTTCTAATTTTTTCCTTCCATTATGGCATATCTAAGAATTCCTGTACATATATCTCAACTTTGGTATATTTGTTTTCTTTCTTTCTTTTTTTTTAAAAAATATTTATTTTTTAATTTTAGGTGGACACAATATCTTTATTTTCTATTTTTGTATGTGGTGTTGAGAATCAAATCCAGCGCCCCGCGTATGCCAGGTGAGCGCACTACTGCTTGAGCCACATCCCCATCCCTGCTATATTTGTTTTCTGTTATGATCTTATTGCCTTATATTTCTTTTAGGATCTTTGTCATAATTATGTAGATTAGGGAGATGATATAAATAAAACATGAAAAAAGAGCTTTAAAAATACCTACATTTGGGTCAGATGACAAAATGGAAGGACCTGAAAAACTCTGTTTAACCGATGTTTTAGGAAGGGTTTCATCCATGTCTTCATTTTGACTATCAGAATCACTGCTATCAAACAAGGTTCTATTTTCTGGTTTCAAAATATCATATTTTGCTCCTATAAAAATAAAAACCAATTAAAGAGTAAGTATCTGTAATTTCAAATTAGTGAATAGCAGAAGAATAAGAGTCAATCTTCAAATAACTTACGATTTTTCTTGAATTGTTGAGTAGTAGTCCATAGCTCTGTTAAGTTCACTTTTGGGAAATTCTAGGGGGAAAAAAAAAACTTGAAAAATAACAAGTATCAAATTTGATAGAAAATTCAAATATTCACCAGTACAATACAATCTAACACAAAGTACACAGGTTTAGGAATCATTCACATGTAGATTCAAACTCCAATTCTGCCATTTATTAAATTACATTTTATCATAGGTTGAAGATTATGAGATTATAGAGACATCCAACAAATATTACTCCTTACCTCTAACTATTATAGAAATACTATGATATCCATTAGATAATTTTCTTTTTAAAAATTTTTTTATTTGTTCTTTTAAAATATACATGAAAGTACTGTGTATTTTAACATATTAAACATACATGGAGTATAACATTCCAATTAGGATCCCAGTCTTGTAGTTGTAGATGATGTGGAGATTGTCTGTGGTATAATCATATATGTACATAAGAAAGTTATATCCAATTCATTTTACTGTCGTTCCTATTCCTAACCCCATCTCTTCCCTTTATTCCCCTTTAGACAATTTTCTTAATCAACATATTCTAGGAAAAAAATGATCCCTCTATAGTTTACTTTAAAAAAAAAACTAACATTTTAGCAAATTTTAAATTGTTATATTTTGAATGTGTTTGCATAATTTACATTTGCATGAATTACTTCAAGGGGAAAACATGAGTTTAGTTTTTAATAGTATTTTATTTATATAAGTTGGCATTGCAAGCAGTATAAATAATCATTTTAAAACTCCCACTTCTCTATGAACTACAAGAGGTTAGGAAAACATATTTGTGTGTGTAATTTGGAGCACTTAAAATAAGGTGTCAAATGAAAAAAAAAATGATTATATGATAATTTTAGCTCTTTCCATGAAGGAGATGAAGAATAAATCTTGTGGGGCAGTGACTGATGAACAAAAGTCACATTCAACTATGAAACAGAAAGGTGTAACAAGCCAGGCTCAGAGGCACACACCTCCCAGTGGCTTGGGAGGCCGAGGCAGAAGGATCAAGAGTTCACAGCCAGCCTCAGCAAAGTTGAGGCACTAAGCAAATCAGTGAGACCCTGTATCTAAATAAAATACAAAATAGGTCTGGGGATGTGGCTCAGTGGTCAAATGCTCCTTGAGTTCAATCCCCAGTACCGTCTTCCCCTAAAAAGAAAGATGTAACCAAATATGACAATAATGGAGACAAATGTATTGAAAGAATTAACACTGAAGAAATTTTTCTGTAAGAAAAAGGTAAGGGAGGAGGAACAAACAAAACAAAAATTTAATACAAAAAAAAAAGAGGATACATTTTCTCAATAGACCTAACCTGAAGTTAAATATATGAAACATTTAAAGGATATACAAATTTAAGTCACATTTTTAGAAACCTAATATCATTAGATATATCATACATACATATACATTATACAAGTAATACTCCATTAATAGAAATATATTTGTTCATTTATTCACATTCAAAAATATTAAAAATCCTTCTTATGTGTAAGTAATTTTTTTTTGGGGGGGACTAGGGATCAAACCCAGGGGTGCTAAGTTGCTTAGGGCATCACTGGCTGGTTTTGAACTGGCAATCCTCCAGCCTCCACCTTCCAAGCCACTAGGATAACATGTGTGTACCACCATGCCTGATGAAATAAGATCTTTTCTTTTTTTAAAATATTTATTTTTTAGTTGCAGTTGGACACAATACCTTTATTTTATTTATGTGGCGCTGAGGATGGAACCCAGGTCCTTGAATGCACTAGGCAAGTGTTCTACTGCTAAGCCACAACTTCAGCCCCAAGATCTTTATAATAGTGGGTTTCTATGCTTATAATCCTTGACCAAATTTCATATTTGCTCTATTTTGGGCAAACTTTTCCTAATATGATTTTCTGGTCATGATGTATTTTCCAGCCCACCCCACCTCCTTTTTTTTTTTTTTTTTTTTTTTACATTTACACTTCTTCAAAGTATATACCAGTCTTTTGGCATTTACAAAAGTAAAAACATTTAAAAAAATCAGAAGTCAAAATTCTAAAAACTGGTTTTCTCTGATTAATTTTCTATATATAGCGAGAGTTGGACTATTACTAAATTTTAAGAACAATACACAAAAGAAAATTCAGAGCAAGAAAATTAATTTCACAAAATCACCTTTACCTTGGTATCAAAATTAGAGTCTTCCTCATCTGATGTAGGCCAGGGATCACCAGGACCAGGTTTGTTAGAAAGCCTTTATAGCAAAAATATACAATAAAAATGGGTGAGTTTGGGTTGGGGTTGTGGCTCAGTGGTAGAGCGCTTGCCTAACACATGTGAAGCCCTGAGTTCAATCCTTAGCACCACATAAAAATAAATAAAATAAACCTTAAAAAGAAAAAGGTTCTTCATTCTATAAAGGTGCAGATTCCTGAAACAAGGATGGGTTCAAATAGGTAAGAGGTAGAGCTCTCTTTCCCTCTTCCTGGAAAACAAGCTAAACAGAGTCTCAATAACCTCAGCACAAGCATTTTACAAACTATACAAACTGGGGCTATCTGATAGCTTTGCAAGCCAGTTGTAACCCTACATATATCCAAGAAAGATATTAGCAAGTTGGGAGAAGAGATGGAGGTGAGGGGATACCTGCCTAGGCCCTACAACCCAGTAGTTCAACAACTTCTAGTCCTCTGGTGCTTGAGGGACCCTAAGGAAACCTCTGTAAATTGAGGTCGAAACATTCCTGTCTGCTATAGACATTCTTCCCAGATGCTTAAATTATTTTATCAGAAGTTTTATTAGTTATTCCAACTAAACAGAAAAAGCCAACAACTTGTTCAGGACTCCCTTAAACTTCCTATTTTAATATTCCTTTCTAGATAACTCTCAATATCTGTGACCTTAATTCCTTTATCATCTTTATCAAGGTTCTCATAAATTTCAATAATCTGGTCTCTTTTCTAAAACCCTTACCTCTAACCAACCCAGTACTGTTCCTCTTCAAATGTGCTCTTCTGTTATTTTCATTCTTATTCTCTACTATTGCATTCACTTGCTAATTCCATTCTTATCCTCTGCATTTGGGTTGACTAGACTCACTTCCCCACTCTATTATTAAAACACTAGCTATGCAGTGTCACATGCCTATAATGCTAGCAACTCAGGAGGCTGACAGGAGAATCACAAGTTCCAGCCCAGCCTCAGGAACTTAGTGAGGCCCTGTCTCAAAATAAAAAATAAAAGGGGCTAGGGATGTAGCTCAGTGGCTAAGTGCCCCTGGGTCTTACCAACAAAACAAAACAAAACAAAACAAAACATTTACTTACAGAATGATAATAAAGCTGAGAACTAAGGAGCATGAGTTCAGATTTCATTTCTGCCGCTTTATAGATATCCAGAAAAGTCACTTCAATATCCTTAATCTCTGAGTTTTCATCTGGCCAGGAAGTTAAACACATTTTGAAATACCAGAGGGTATTTTTATTAATTGCTAGTGTTCCTTAACCTCCTGAAATTCTATGTGCTTTGATTATTAAGGAATATTTAGTTGCCAGAAATGTAAAAAAGAAAAGAAACACCAAAACAAGTAAAAGAGAAAAAAAAAGTCAAGAGTATAGTCATGGAAGCAAAAAGACTAGGAAAAAAAATGCTTATTAGTACTAGTTAAGAGTAGTAGCCTGAAGGAAAAAACAGAGAAATCACGAAGTAGAGATATCAATTAAACATATCCTATAAATAGATGCCACAGATAATTAATATAATGTGGTCTACATGTAGATATTCTTCATTACAGTAAAATAATTCTTGTCTAGGACTTACCTAATCTTGCTTATGTAAAACTCATGGTCTTTTGGCCAAAACTAAGTAAAATCTGCCCTAAAAGCTTGGATGATAAAAATAAGGTACTGGTTGCCACTGCAACTATGGGCCCTATATCCATGGTGTCTAGCTCAGCTAGAACACTCAACAAACCTTGGTTTCTTTTTTCTGCATTCCCTAATTAGTTAAAATACAATTTAAAAAACTTCTGAAATCCTACCTGGTTAAAGACTCATCTTCAGAACTCTCATCCACTATTAAAGAAAAAGGTAAAATAACATTCAATCAACAATACAATAAAATATTAAAAGTTTAAGACTCTGATGCTTTGTTAGAAAATATTTCTTTAGGACCATTCCTGCAGACTATTCTATAATGAATATTAAATATACTAGTGATAAGCAATTAATGCATTAAGAATTCTTATGTCCCTTCTTTTTACTTATCAAATATAAGGAAGAAGGATGCAATTTATCAAAATTTGACCCGTAAAAGGAAACTGCTGTGTACAATAATCTTAACTCAAAAAGATATCATTAGTAGATTCAGTAGCATAAGCTGACAGTGTCAAAAAGCATAATTTTCTGGACTAATGAAACTAAGCAGAATTAGAAGCCAATTGTACCCCTGTCTCATGGATACTGAAGGAAAGAGATTGTTGGGAAACAATAATCTGATCTTATTTTGACATAATTATTTTGTTTTGACATACTTCCCTAGATGTTCAGTCAAAACTATTTCATTTAGGATGTAACTCCTTATGACAAGGAAGACAGATCTATGGGCATGGTATTATGCAGCATGGCAAAACAAACGAAGGAGATAAGGGACAAGGATTTGAGCAAACAAGGCTCAAATTTCATCTGCTATTTTACCTCGCATATAAAGAAGCACTGGAAAAATCACATCCTTAAGAGTTTGTCTATTCTAAACTGTAACTTATAATTAGAGAAGCTTAGAAAGAAGCACTGGGGTGGTAGCACAAATTTCCAGGAAGTACTATCTGATATATATTTATATAATTATAAATATAAATATATACCATTTACTTATAAAAGCTTTCAAAATGTGCCAACAATTAGCTTTCCCTAGTAGGGATTTTTTTTTTTCGTTTCATGTAATATATGTGGGGAGGACCCCAAATAGTGTGACTCTTGGCATTTCCCATGACAAAGAATCTACTCAGAGAATCTTAGGGCTGGGCATGGAGGTCAGTGGTACCCCATTTTTTTAAAAAAGAAAAAAACAAAAACAACAAAAAAGGAGCTGAAAGTGTATGTCTCAGTATTAGAGTACTTGCATAGGCCCTGAGTTCTATCCCCAGCACAACAACAAAACAAAATTAAGAATAATAACAAAAATAATAAAAAAGAAAGTCAGCCATGTTCTAATAATACAGACTATTTTTATACTCATTCCTCAAAGTGAGCTCACTTAGATCTATCTATATAGTATTCATTCTCTAGTCTTATTTCAATGACAAGATAGGTATGGGACTCAAAATTGTTTTATAAAGTACAATCTCTTGAGATTACCTTTCTCTATTGCTAAAGAGTTTATCTGGACCCAAAAGAGCAGAATGGTACAGTTAGTGGTTAGTGTTGTGTAGCTGAGTATCATGTCATTTTTTTCAACCCTCCCCATATGTGTCAAATATATAGAAATCATCCTCTTTCAAGTAAAGCATGTTGTCAGATTATATGCTAATGAACAAAAAAAGAAAACAAGAACTAGACTGGAGGTCTAGCTCAGTGGTAGAGCACTTGCCTAGAATGCATGATGCTGACGCTCTGGGTTCGATCTCTAGCACTGTAGGGAGAAAAAATCATATTGCAAAAAAATCATATTGCAAGTTATAGTCAGCTTAAATTGTAGATAAAGGTCAAAGTAATAGAATATGGGTATTATCGCCTAAAGTAAGAATTTGGAAATACATAAAACAAATAATTTAAATTGCATACTTAGGAATGAACAAATATTTTATTCTGCTTTAGTGACACAAATAACTGTGAAGTAATATTCATTTATACAATGCAATCCATTTATTGTAAAAATTAAATAGAAAATCTATTTTTATAACAATCCAATTTCCTATAATGTGACTACAAAGGAAACATACAATATATTAATTTAAAAATCTTATTTATACGAAGATCTACAAGATTTCAGATGCTAAAATAAGTGAAAACTTTTTCAGAGAATACTGTTTTAGATGGCAAATTTCTGAAAATTAATTCATTAAATAATTCTCAATTCTACACTATTAGAAAGAAATTAAGAAAACATAAATGCAACTCACACACTAATTTTTAAAACTGCTTTCTTGTGATCAAAAGTTTCTTTTATTTTTTTCTAGAGTAGGTTTACCAAGAATAATTCACTATCAGAAGACTTACCTGAATTGTTAATTTGAGAATGTTTAAGTCTCTTTTCGTCATATTCAAAAATTACTTGCCTATGGTCATAAATGAAAAAAATAATAAATAAAATTATTTTAATACTGATATGAAAACATTTACCACATATATCAAATTCTTAATTTTGAGACAACATCAGAACTTTCTCCCATATACCTCAAATTTGTGAGCTCTATAAACTTTTTATTAAGCTTATAATTAAAAAAAAAGTAGAGTGAAAAAAAAGACCATGAATCAGGGGAATACAGCACATTAACTAGATTAGCTAGACACAGTGGAAAGAAGTCCTGTCTCTTTTATCAACAGCTATTGGTCTTGGACAAATATTTTCTCTTAGACTCAAAGTCTTCTTTTATAAAAAGGAGTTCACTAGACTGTTATGAAAATTTAATTAGGTAATACAAAAACATGCTCTGAGAAATAGTAAAGTAATGGAATTATTTGTTTTTTCATGCAGAACTATTTTGGAATCCCAAATAAAAGCTAATGTTCCCCCCCACACACAGATTCTAATATTCAAATGTTGCAGTTATTGGAAAATATTATTAAGTCTTAATTTTTGTTATTAGCTCCATTCTCTCCATTGTGGCTTATAATTCAAATTGTTCCTTATTATTAAGTTAATCAATCATAGCAAAGGCAGAAACTAAAAAAAATGTCAAGACCAGACTTGGGCTACTGCGATTTCTCTTCCTAATCAAACTCTAAATCACCAGATCTTTGTTGGAATGATGCTTATCTCCATGTTTATCTCCAGTTGATTTGGAAGATAAAATCCTGTTTTATACATGGATACCGATAATCATGGGTTTTAGTTCTTTTTAATCCAACTAATTCACATTAGATTTAAGAATTAGATTGGATAGAGAGAAATGATGGGAGGGGAGGGGAGGAGTAGGGGGGATAGGAAGGGCAGCAGAATAGAATAGACATTATGATTGCTGTATGTATATAAGTGACTCTATGACCAGTGTGATTCTGCAATCTGTACAATTAGAAAAATGAGAAATTATACCCCAATGATTTAAATGTATGAATTGCCAAGATCATTGTAATGTCATGTGTAGCTAATAAAAATAAAATAAAAAAAAAAAATAAAGGCCAGAGGAAGGTCCACGGCACAGGAAAAAAAAAAAAAAAAGAATTCTGCTTAATGGCCTCCTTTTGAAGTTGAATTTGAAAATATTCTGAAAACTTGTAGTGTAGACTGAAGTAGCTTGAGGGATTTTCATTACTGTGGAAAACAGATTATTTGAGAAGCTAATCAAAACCAGCATCCACCCTGGGGAAGGTGATATGAGACCGTCCAAGCCTAAAGAAAAGGTGCTACACAGGATACAAAGGGGCCTTTGGGAACAGATTTGGTAGCAAAGTAGAAAGAAAATTCTGATGTCATACAGCAACATTATTTGAATTTGTTTTAGTTTAGACTGATCCCAACAAATATTTGCTGGCAAAAAAACACAAAAGGAAGACCTCAAACTACCATATAGGTCTAGGTTAACATGTGGGCTCCACACAAGGTTTTGAAAAGGGGAAAGGGTCAGTTTGCTTACTATGTGCATAGTTAAAGCTAGAATACCCAATTGTCAAACCTGAGTTGCTGCTACTTTGGGAACAATGGCTGAGCATATGTATAGGTGAACTAAAAAAAGTTGTGATATTTAATTCTAAGTGCATATTATCATCAATAATCTTCAAATAGAGCAATCTAAAGTAAATACTCATTCAAAATACAAAATGATTTTCAACCCCTTTTTTATGATATTAGCATTTTAAAGGCAAACTATATAAGCAGAAGTTAAAAAAAATACTACAAAAAGATTAAGAAGTTCAATATTGAATCAAAAAATAAACTATAAGTCCATATATTTTAAACTAATATGAAACCCATTTTTAATTTTTTTTACTTTTGTTATTGGTGCATATTTGTAATACTCCATTCTTGATTTTTTTTTGATGTTTTTTGAGTTCATTATATTGTCCGGCTATTAATCCTCTCAGAAGGGTAGCCAGCAAAATTTTTTTTCCCATCCTGTAGTCTGTCTCTTTATTCTGTTGTTTTCCTTTGCTATGCAGAAGCTTTTAAATACTACTCCATTTATTGTTTCTTGTTATTAATTCCTCAGCTACAGGAGTTCTAGTGAAAACTCTTTGGCTAACATAAGATCACATAATCAACAAAATCAGAAAACAAATATAGTCATAAGGCAATATGAATATAGTCATATAAAGGAATATGAATCTTAACATATATTTTTCTTTGTGTTGTCCAATCTGAATTATTGCTTTTCTGCCTGATGTTTGTTGACATTTTCATAATATCCTAAAAATTATGTTAATCATCCCAATAATTTAAAATTTTTGACTTGAGTGACTGTTACCACTCTAAAACACCACTAACTTTTTAAAAATAACACAGAAAACAACTACTATACCTTTCTAGCTCATCAACTGCATGTATATTTGCTTTTTTATTTACTAAAACTTCTGCCATCTGTTGTTTGTTTTCTCTTAGAGCAAGTAAAAGTGGTGTGTGGCCATCCTGTAAAACAATTTATAATTCACAAAAATTACATATTTTTCAACTGAACTAAAAACCTTATAAAAGACCCCATGGGAACATAAATGCATCACAGAGTAAAAGCCAAACAAACAAAGAAACAAACAAACAAAAAACCCTTCCTTCTTACCCTGTTGTGCTTTCATGTTTTTTTGCCTTTTAAATGCTCTCCTCTGTCTAGTGCTGGCACATGAACTCCAGTCATTTCTAAAACTTACTGCAAATATTTAATGATTCCAAGAACTTCTGCTTCTATAACTGCATTTATAATGTTATTTTCAAACTATGTGATGCTCCCCATGTTAGCCAAAAACTTCTTGAGGGTAGGGGCTCTATCTTTAATCTCAATAGCCCCAAACACTGAAAAGATAATTGAATAAGTTTTAAGTATTTTTATTGAATTAATGAGCTTAATTTTCATTTCTAGAGCAGGGTTTCTCGATGCATATTCCAAGGAATATGTACTTTTCCAGAAGTACTTTACTGTAACAGAAAGACTCCATAATCATTTGTTTGAGAAATATCACAAACTGTGCATGTTATGTCCAGTATTAAACAAAACTCTCCAACTTTGCTTAATCTCTTAGTTTTCTGTGGACACAACATCTTTATTTTATTTTTATGTGGTGCTGAGGATCAAACCCCGCCCCCCCCCCCCCCCCCACACACACACAGCCTACCACTTGAGCCACATCCTGGACAATACTTTATTGATGGTAAACATTAACCAGAGTTCAGGGCTAAAGTTTTGAGGGCTTTTCAGTAATGTGATTCCTTTAAGAATGCTAATGGTTCCCATGGAGGAAACTGTCATGATTTTCTTCTATTTATTGTCTCAGGGTTCCAGTCCCACTGTCAAGGTAATTGTACTCTAAATGGGTCACTATGGAAATGAGCTCTGAATTAAATGAAACAGGTTTCAAAATGAACTTTGATTGCTTATTACCAGTTGGTCCATGGGTTTTCTCATATTATAAGATGGGAGATATTTACCTTAGTTGTTAGAGAACTCAATATAAAATTTTATTCTCGCTTATTATAATGCTAATAATCCTTGGACCCTAATACTTATCCTTTTTTTTAATTCTTTTTTTTGCTGTATTTTCATTTTAATTGTGAAAGTTGCTTATAATTTTAGACAGAATTTTGGAATAAAAATACAATGGTTTATCACCACAAAAATTAATACTGGTCTATATTAAGGATTTTTAGTGTAACAAAAGCGTTAACAAAAGCCACTGAGCTGCTTGCATTTTTAAGGAACATGCTGAAAAGAAAGATATTTTATTTTCAACATGCATTACTTATTCAACTATACCTCTGACTAATCTAATAAGGCCAACAGACATTCTAATGAAAATACGATCATTTACAGTTAAAGAAAAAGGTATTAAAATACAAATGTCTAAATTCTAAAACTCAATACCATTTCTATAAGATTAATACAAACTACAGACCATATTCTTATAAATTACCTTGAAAACCCTGACATCTTTATCAAAGTATATTATAAAACAGAAATTATAAACTCAAATACTTACAGAGGCAAAGCAGGTGACATGAGGGAATTCTGAGATGGGTTAGTAGCAAATTGGAGACTGAATACTTCAAATAAAGGGGACAAATTCTTTACAGCAGACCACTTGTAATCCGGGATTGAAGGACAGAATTTATTCTTTAAAAGAAGCTCAAAATTCATATTTCTACATGAGTCTCCTAAATTTTAAATGTTGACTGAATTTATGGAGGTTATGGATCACGTTTAGTCTATAGCCTTTTTGTTTTTATCTTTGTTGTAGGTTTTTCCAAATGGTTTTGTACAAATTAAATATTTGCATGTTAAACCTTACCTTTTTTTTTTAAGATGGACTCAATATTTTTATTTATTTTATGTGGTGCTGATGATGGAACCCAATGCCTCCCGTGTGTGAGGCAGGTGCTCTACCACTGAGCTATAAGCCTAGCCCCAACCTTTCCTTTTTTTAATATCATATTTTATCAAAAAAAATCAGGCCCTAAAATATGAAAAGACTCATAATGCCCACTTCAAGATCTTTTCAATACTTACTAATTTATACTCCATTGGTAGTCAATTCTCCTAGGCTGTTGATGAATAATTAGTTTCATAGGACCTTTGAAACTAAATTATTAAAATACCCATGTATATACTTAGTTTCAAGAAAAACCCTGGGTGTTATCAATATTTGTTGACCTAATGACCTGAATTATAACAAAGAGACATGAAATCCTTAAAATACAGACTGCTGTTTATTGAAGACTACCCATGAGAAAATCTCTAAAAATGTTCTGAATGGCAGTGGATGACTACTGATGGTTGGAAGGAAAAAGGTGTTATTCTATAAGTCAACGGATATTTCCAATATTCCTTTTAACTTTCTTACAATGGAAGTAGAAAAGACAGATGAATTTGGACAAATAATATTGGAAAGCAGAGATTTGAAGGATGCAGAGGCTAACCAAAGTCCAACACTTTTAGAAAATTTCTTAAGATCTGGGAATTCACTAATTACACTCGTTAATTCAGTAGTTCTTTTTTAGGAGTTCTATCAGAATCTTGAGGAAATATTTTTAAATATCTATGTCTAGGACTTATTAGATTTTCTGAATCAAATTTTCAGAGGAGAGCCTAGACTTGTAAATTTTCAAATTTCCCCAGGTCACTGTGATGCACAATTCTAAGTGAAAACTAGAGAAGCAGACAATCATCACTTCAGTATCATCTCTCTTCCATAAAACCTTTATCACTTGGGGATTTGGCCAAAAGGAGGGAAGAATAAGAGAAAGTCACTTCCTGTAAACTCAATTTAATTTTCCTGGGTAGGGACATGCAGGGACTAGATAAATTCAAAAGCTAACTTGATTTCATTACATAAACTCCTTATCTCCCACCTCTCAGCAACACACTGTAGATCTGAGAGTAGAGTTTAGAATCTTATTAAGTGTCTACTTCTGTCAGAAAACGATTAGATGTCAATTAATTATTTGTTCTTCCTTTTCCTTTTCCACTTAATTACCATATGATCCTGTCAATCTGGCTTCCTTAAAATCCCTATAAAAGTAATCTCTAGGCAGGTTTACAATTCAACAACTTTCTTTTCCAAACTAAGAATTAATATCACCCAAATTTAAGGGCATCTTTTCTATATATAAACTGGAAACAAACAAACTTATTGTGGTATTTTTCCTCAGTTATCTAATTTCCAAAATAGACTGAATACTTCTTATCACTATCCTTTTCCATTTCTCCTTTTTAAATCTTACTGACAATCACTTTGATATAACTTGCGCTGATTAAGCACAAGTAGGTTATTTATTTTTAAATGTCTTTGTTTTAAGATAAAACTTACTTCAGAAAATTTTGCTTTCTTCTGTTATTTTGTACTAATTAGAAAAAAAAATTGGTGCAAAAAAGTGTATGAAAAAAGATTTTACCTTTAAGAAATTAATTGTTTTCACAATATTTGCCATGAAAGCATAAAAGAAAGCTTATGCTCTAATACTTCTTTAAAAATATCAATATTTTAAGTGAAATCTTCAACAATTAAGTAATTTCAAATTATTTTAATTCAGGAATGCTCGAGTTCCTAAATATGGAAAATTTACCCTATAAACATCATTGTTAATATAAAGGTATTTCATTTCAAATATTTAGGAAATAAGGTTGGTTGATTTATACCTTGTTTTGGGCTTCAGTATTTGCATTGTGCAAAAGTAGTTTTACTGCTATTGATGTGTTCTCAATATAAACAGCATAGTGGAGAGCTGTATTGCCACTGGAGTCCTTGACATTTGGATCAGCGCCATGTTCTAACAGAATAGTTGCACATTCCTCTTCCTGGCACTGTACGGCCTGTCAGTATCATACCAAGAAACAGACTGTAAATTCAAGTTAATTCAAGATAAACATTCTACAGGTTTCACCAGTTATATCTAAATGGGATAAATTCATTTTTATTTTAAGAATTTAAATCAAACTCATCTCCTGCCGAAATGGTTGGCTACTACCTACCTTAATTAGTGCTGTGCTGCCGTCACTGTCACAGATGTCAATGTTGCATTTCCTCTCTACCAGAAGAGTCACCACTTCTGGATGACCATAGGCACAGGCAAAGTGTAGAGCAGTCCTGACAGTGAAAGAATTTTTTGGATATTACAGAGCACCATCTGAAGGTACACAATTATTCATGCAACTACAAACATTAAATAACATGTAGTTCCTTTGCCTTCAAAGCAAATATTTTCTTCTGAAGTACAGTATTTATAGTTCTTACTACTCATTACATTAATAGACATGCAACCTATTTGATTCATGCACCCTTCCTTTCTCTTCCTCCCTCTCTCTCTTTTGTGGTGTTGGGGATAGAATCCAGGGCCCTGAGCATAGTAAGGCAAGCACTACCTCTGAACTATCTACACCCCCAGTTAATTTAGAGCAGCCTCTGAATAGAAAGAACATCAACTTCAGTTTGAATCCTACTTTAAGCTCGGATCCTTACTAGTTATTCCTTAACTTTTCTATGTCTCATTTTTCTTACCCTTAAGATTGGGATGAAAAATAGTAGTTACCTCACAGGACACCACCAAAGTGCTTAAATGAAAATCCATGCAAGGTATTTAGAATTGTTTTAAATTCAACAATTATTAGATATCATAATTATTATTAATAATTATTAGTTTTTGGCTTCAGTATTTGCATTGTGCAAAAGTAGTTTATCATTATTAGTAATAATTACTATTACTAATAATATTACTAATACCTAACAAAAACAAGATTTCAATTAAGTAAAATAATACAATTATACCTACTTTGCAGATATGGATTTCAATGAGTCTAAAATGCTATTTTTCTTACATTTCAACATCTGAGATACTGGAATGCCACTTGTTTCTGTCATCTCTGCATTGCTGTGACCAAAAGACCCAACAAGAACAATGTAGAAGAGGAAAAGTATATTTTGGTTCATGGTTTCAGAGTTTTAGTCCATGGTTAGCTGACTTTATAGCTGTAGGCTTGAAGTAAGGCAGACATCATGGCAGAAAAATATGGAGGGAGGAATGTAGCTCGCCGCAAGGCAAACAGGAAGCAGAGAGAGTTCCATTCACCAGGGACAAATTATAAAACCCCAAAGGCTTGCCAGTGAACTACTTCTTCCAGACACACCCTACCTGCCTATAGTTACCACCCAGTTAATCCATATCAGTGCATTAATCCACTGATTGGGTTAAGGTTATCAAAAACCTGATCTTTTTACCTCTGAACATTCTTGCATTGTCTCACACATGAACTTTTGGGAGATGCCACACATCTGAACCACAATGTCAATTATAGTTCATAATGTGTTATAACTATAAATGACATTTAAAAAATTTTAATACACAAAATAACAGCTTATCACACAATCTGTGGTGCCTTATAAAAAGTGAAATACAATAGTTCTATGGCAGTTCTGTTTATATGGTTGGCATTTAAATTGCATATATAATAAAAATGTGTATAAGAAATGCATATATAATAAAATCTACAAGCATAGATTTAAAAAATTTCCTTTACTTGTGAACATACAAACACATACACTCAAACTAATAGAAAATGAGAATTTTTTTCTGTGCTGGACTCTTATCCCTGCTCTTCACAAGGCTTATTTTTTATTAACAATAAACTTTTACTGGAACTTCTATACATGTTCACTGTAGAAATCAGAGAAAGAAAATAGAAGAAAATAGAAAAAAAAGAAGTTCATGCAGAACTTTTACCAATATTAATCATATGCTAGGCCAAAAAGCCAGACTCATCAAATTCAAATACTGAATTAACAGAGTATATTTCTAGTGTCAATGAAACTAAGCTAGAAACAAATAAAAAGATGAGAAACCCACAAATTGGAAGTAGAATAATACACTTCTAAGTAATAGAAAATGAAAAAGAAAATTTTATATCATTTTGTGTATCTTTTTGGCTAAAACAAGAGCACAGTCAAATAATTTGTGTATCTGTATAATCAAACTGACTTTTTTCCCTCACTTGATAAAACAAAGTATATCTTCGAATGTCAACAGACATGATATTTATGCAAAATTCAATGATTATATTCTAAACAATTGATACATTGTAATTTGTAAATTACTAGAAAAATCTATTCTATGGGTTCTTCTTCTTCTTCTTCTTTTTTTTTGTTTCAGGGATTGAATTCAGGGGTGCTTAACCACTGAGCCACATCCCCAGCCCTTTTTTAATTTTGAGACAGGGTCTCACTAGGTTGCATATGGTCCCGCTAAATTGCTGAGGCTGTCTGCTGCCTCAACCTTCCGAGCTGCTGAGATTAGGTTCTTAATGCATTGTTATTTTAAGCAGTGCTGAGAAAAACAAATTGTGTCATTTATTATTTCCTAAAGATATTCTACTATAATAAAATTTGTTGGTAGAAACATATACATTTTAAAATAGGGTACAGTAGATCAAATTGTCTATTTGAAAAGTCATAATTTAAGCTTTAAGCAGAAGTATGCCACTGCTTTTTATTCTCACAAATTTTGTAATTGGTAAACACTATTTTATTCCTCTTTTAACTTAATTTCCTTCTCTTACCAGGGACAAAGAAATTTTTCCAATGTCTATAGGTAACTTGTAGATCTGCACAAGTGTTCCTTACCAAATTAAGTAAGAGTTCAAGATCTAGAGGTAAACTTTAGTGGTATAGTACTTGCCTAGAAAGCACAAGGCCTTCAGTGCAACCCCCAGTATAAAAAAAAGTAAATGGAGTTCAGTTTTTTTCCTTGTTAATTTGAAAGAATTTTCTGTATAATGAAGATATATTTTTTATCTGTATTATATGTTATATATGTATAAATATTTTGCAACAGTTTTTTATTTTAACTCTTTTTCTGATATACAGAGGTTTAGATTTTTCATTTCTGCTAACTGACCCTTGGAACAGTTTCTTTGAGGCTAGGGGTATAGCTTCGTGATAGTGTGTGCTTCCTAAGCACTAGTCCCTAAGTTCAATCCTGAGTCCCACAAAAGGAAAAAGAATGCTTGCTTTTGAGTTTATTCTTAGGAAAGTCTTGGCCAATATAAAAAATATATAATGCAGAAGTAGGCCTGTGTATTTTCTTTCATATTTTTCTCATTCTGTATTATTAAAATTTTTTAATCTATACTCTATGGAGAAACTTAACTTGTGACATAATAACCTAGCTAGTTTATTCCAGTTATCAGGCACTTCATATATGAATAATTCATCTTTTCCTATTAATATGGAATGTCATTGGTTTCAAGTTCTAAATTCTTACATACATTTGGGTGTTTCTGGATTTTTCTATTCTGTTGCATTAGTTTATCTGTCTTTTCAGTTGCCAGTATCAATTAGTTTGTGAAAATTAATAGTGTATTTTAATACCAAGAAGAGCAAGTCCTTATTACAAAAAAAAATTTCTGTCATCACAATAGTAAAAGCATGGGGAAATAAAAAATGCTAACTTTTCGGGCTGGGGCTGTAGCTCAGTGTTAGAGTCCTTGCCTCTCATGTGTGAGGCACTGGGTTCAATCCTCAGCACCACATAAAAATAAATAAAGATATTATGTTCATCTACAACTAAAAATTTTTTTAAATGTTAACTTTGATATTTTTACCTGGTTTATCTAAAATAAATATAGAAAGATCTCACATTTTTGGAATAAGTCTTCCTTGTTCAACAGAGAACTATCTTTCCAATAGTTATACACTTCATAAAAACATGGATATTATTTTTTTCTAAGCATTTAAAGCCCTTTAGCTGATAAAAATATTTCTCTCATGCACTTTCTACACCGTATACATGGTTTTAGAATTATGTATTTTAAAAATAAACTGTTGCATATACTTAATTTTGTTAAGTTAATCACTTTTCAATAGTCAAAGAGCTTTACATGGGAATCATAAGTGGATCGGAAATGAGCTAAAGTTTTGTTTTAGTTTTGCTGCTCATGAAGCGGTTCTGGGTGTAGATCCCTCGGAAGCCTGTACTACCCAGGTGCCTGAGGGGGTCCAGCTGGGGAGGTGCCCGTTTCTTCCATGCCCCCCTCCTCCCGCACCAAACCCGTAGCCCTTTGGCTCAAAGCCCCTACCTATTACCTGTTCTTCTTGTCTTTATCATTCACGCCATTTTCCCCAAGAATAAGGAGATGCTGCACTTTGGCTACATTGCCCATGCTTGCAGCCTTGTGGATCTTTCCTGTATCCTTGTCTCGGATGTGGTACCTGGGCGAGTTCAGACTACTGGCATTCTCAAGCCCAAAGCCCACGCAGTTCCTTCGCAGGTTGCTGGAGGAGCCCAAAGGCGAACGGCCCTTACTTCCGAAGCCAAAAATCCTCTTCATGGCAGAAACCAACCGCCTCAGGGGTACCTTTCCTCCTCCTTGGCTTTTCACCGCCTCCGGAACTCAATATTGGCTGTCACAGATAAGCAAACCTAGTCTCGCCACAACGACCCAAAGGGGCAGCTCCAAGGTTCCATTTTTTCAGGAAAAAATTATCGTCTCCAAGCAACACCACTTAAGTCCCAGTGCGCGTGCGCGGTCTTAGTCTGCGCAGACGCTACTCACTTTCACAAAAGGCCGGTAACCGAGGTTGCTCAGTGCGCATGTACAAAGCCTCATTTCTCCAATCTCCGCCCTTTAGGCCTCCTGTGTTTCTTTCTCCTGTGTTTCTTTGTGTCAGGTTTGTCACAACAGTGCTCTTCCTTGGAGAAGGCTTGGGACTCCAGTCTAACGGCAACTAGTGCGCGGGTAGCCCAACTTACTAGGCCATGTCGCTGGAAAATCGCGCAGTTGTTCCCTGGTGGTCGGACAATAAAGGGCCCGAGAGTGTAGGCAGCATTTCGCGGGCAGCCAGAGGTGGCCGGCTGCCTGGATTTGAAGAAGGGGTTCCGAGGGAGGGGCGGGCGCGGGACTTGCAAAAGTTCCCTTGAACTCTTGGGACACGTCGGAGGTGAGACTGCCAGAGCTCCGGCAACCAACCGCTTCCACCCGTGCCCTTCTCCTGGGGAGGGGACCTCGGCGGGGCTCAACAAATGGTGGCTTCGCGGGCCTCTCCAGGTACGACGTGGGTTGTGTGGGACTTGGGGTCGGGCCAGGCCAGGATCTTGCTGTGAGCAACTTGGGCTGCTGCTTCTGTGCGCCCGGCGCTCCAGGACTTAGCTCTGATTTGTCGCTTGGTGGACTTTGTATTTCTGTAGAAACAGTGGGCTCTGTAAAAGGTTGAACACGTCAAGTCACCTGGTTTCTGTGCATTCAGGTCAGGCCAGCCTGCTAGTGCCACACCTGCCGTTGCCTCTTATAGAAAAGCACATAAACTCTGTCTTTAAAAGCAAAAATGTACTTAAAGAATTTGGTTGGGGATGGGTGGAATATGCGTACGGATGTGGTTATGAAAGAAAAAGGGGATTCGTTTTGCGGAGCGCTTTATTTGCATGGAATCTCTATTCATTTGGAAGTTCTTGGAATTAGAAGTGACAGTTTCCATAGAGCAATATAGAGAGTCAATTTTAGGATAAAAATTAGTGGAATATGTAAAGAGATTATGTACATTTTGGATCAGAATATATACCCGAAGAAAACAACATAATCTTAAAATTTTGGTTTGACTTGGGAAAAGTAATTTCTTTATAAAGCTTTTTCCTAATGAAAATTGTGTATCTACTTTGTCTTATTTTAAATTCTTATGTAAATTACATGAGTTCTTTCATAAATTATTTTTGATAATAAAGCAAGTTCTTTTTACTATTACTCTTTTTTGATGATGACATACAGAAGATTTATTTAACTAAATGTATTTTTTATTTTGTACTAATAGACATGGTTTTTTTTTAGTACCTTACTATCATAAAGCTACGTGAATATTCTTTTTTGTTTTTATTAGTGCATTATAGATATACATAATATTGGGGTTCATTTTGACATAATCATACATGAAATACAATTTGTTGCACTTCAGTCCCCAGTACTTCCTCCTTCCTTCTCCCTTCGCTCCTCCCTTCTGTACTCTATTGTACTGGTCTTCTTTCAATTTATTTACAGTATTGTTTTTAATATTGGTGCTTTGTAGATATGCATAAAGGTGCAATTTATAGTATAGTATATTCATTTATGTATATATCTTAGTACATATCATAATACAGTCAATTTTATTCTGTATTTCCTCCCTTTTCCCAGCCCCCTCCCTCCTTTTCTATTCCCTTTCTCTATTTCACTGATCTTTCTTCCATTTTCATGGGATCCCTCCATCCCCACTTTTTTTCCTTCTCATTTTACTCTAGTTTCTGCACATGAGAGAAGACATTTGACCCTTGACTGGCTTATCTTATAAGCTTAGCATGATTTTCTCCATTTCTATCCATTTACCCACAAATGCTATAGTTTCATCCACTTTATGGCAGAGTAAGACTCGCACATTTTCTTAATCAGTTTGTCTATTAATGGGCATCTGGGCTGATTCCATAGTTTGGCTATTGTAAATTGTGTTGCTATAATCATTGAAGTGACTGAATCACTTTAGTATGTTGATTTTATTCTTTTAGATAAAGACCAAGGAGTGGGATAGCTGGGTCCTATGTCAGTTTCATTCCTGGTCTTTTGAGGAACCTCCATTCTACTTTCCAAAGTGGTTGTATGGATTGTCACTTGTATCATTAAGTCTTCCCATCTTAGAGCATGATGTGTTTTTTATTTGCTCATATCTTGATTTGTGTTATATTCCCTATAGTTATTACATCATTTTAAACATTATTTTTAATGAAGCTTTTTCTCCATTTCCATTTTTAAGGCATTTTTCCTAATATGATTATAGGTATTAGTTTTCCCAAATCTGTATCCCATATCTCATGGCAAACTTAAAATCTTGGTGATGATTTTTATAATAATCTCAGGTTTTCTAACTGAATAATCACATTATTAATAAGAAAGTCATCACTTTTCAAGTATATGACATTTAATTCATTTCTTATTTGATCTAATTAAATTAATTTAATCTAGGTAAGTCCAGTTAAATGGTTGTTTTATGATCATTTATTTATTTGTGATTCTTTACTTTTGTATGCTAATAGAAATAGCTGGCTTGCCCCTGGTTTCTTATTTTAATTGAAATACTGCTAATGTTTTACCATTTTAAATGATAATGTATATTTTTTATTTTTAGAAATAGTGTTTGTTGTATTTGCCAATCCTTTTTCCAGTTTTGATCAGAAATGCTTCCCATATTTTTTAATCTTGTTTCTTGAGATAGTTTTTTAAAAAAATATTGAGTAAATAGACTGTTGAGTAAATAGACTGTCTCTGAGAAGGAATCTCATTTACTTGCTTAGAGTGCATTTTTCTTGGTTGATGGATTTTCTTTGCAAATTTTTTATCTATATTTTTTCCATTTTTTATTCATTGGTGACATTTTTGCAGCATTTTATGAGGTTTTAATATTAATGTTTTGCCAAGATAATATCATGAAAATTGAGACTCCATTTTTGTTGTACATGGTCTGGGATATTTTTAAATTCATTAAAATTTAAAGTTTACTAGAATTCATTTATGAAATCATCTGTATGATATGGAAAATGACAAACCCACACTATTTTAGGATTTGTCATTTTCCATTTCTTACAAATTTTGCACATTAATTTTGTATCCTGTTACTTTGCTGTACATATTTACCAGCTCTATAAGTCTTCTGATGGAATTGTGAATAGAATTGCTTTTCTGTTTTCTTTTCCAGGGGATTCATTATTGGTTTATATAGAAGCTATTGATTTTTGTTAGCACAAAATGACCAAGCTGGGTGCAAACTTCACAGATCAGCACAGCCTTTATTCAGCAGTGGAGTTGTGCATCTGGTGGACCCACTTTTCTCATGGAAAATGAGCCACTGGCCAAAGGAGGAATCTGTGCTTATTATATATGTTACACTGAGCGATGACTTGATTATTGATAGAGCATGTCAGTTTGGGCACTCAGGAAACAGGTTTGTAAGAATTTGAGATTTGTTTTTACTGGGCATTATTTTTACTTGGGGAAAAATGGAGGGTCAGGGTCAATGTTCAGTGCTTGTCTCTTTCCCAATAGAGTCTCATTGTATAGTCACTGGGAAAGGATTTATTTGGGGAAGGATCAATGTTTTTGCTTCCTCCCAGAGACTGCCATTTCAGGCTTGATGGATATCTCCTTCCCAGGGATTGTCTTTTCACTGGATGATGTTTGCTTCCTTCCAAGAGATTGTCCTGTTACTGGAAAAAAATATATTGGGAAAGGATCAGTGTTACCAATGTGTTGCCTTCTTCCTTACTCCCTCTTCCCAGGCCACATTATTTTGGGGTTTGTCATTTTTCATATCTTACAATTTTTGTATGTTAATTTTGTGTCCTGTTACTCTGTTGTATATACTTACTAACTCTACAAGTTTTCTGGTAGAATTTTATGGGTGAACAGTAATAGCTAAACTTTTTTCTTTCCTTTTTATATTTCTTATTTCCCTGTTGTGCCTAATTGCACTGACTAAAATTTCAAGTATTATATTCAATAGAAGTGTCAACAGTTGACATCCTTGATCCTGATTTTAGAGGAAAATTTTTTCAGTTTTTTTTTTCCCCATGAAGTATAATGTTGGCTTTGAGTTTGTTGTACGTAACCTTAAAGATGTTGAGGTAATTCCCTCTATCTCTATTTATTTATTTATTTATTTGGTCCTGGGGATTGAACCCAGGGGTGCTTTACCACTGTGCTACATCTCCAGCCCTTTTTATTTTTTGTTTTGAGCACAATCTCACTAAGTTGCTTAGGGCCTTACTAAGTGTCTGAGACTGTCCTTGAACTTGGGATCCTCCTTATCCTCCTCACTCAGCCTCCCAACCTGCTAGGGTTACAGGTGTAAGCTACCACACCCTAATTATACATAACAGTGGTATTCATTATAATATATTTGTAAGTGAATGTAGTCTAATTGGTCTGTTTCATTTTCCCATAACTTCCCCTTTCTCTTCCCTCCTCCTTCCTCATATTCCCTACATCTTCTATTGGAGTCCCTACTCTTCTATTGGAGCTCTGTCCCTAATTTATATAGGGTTTTTAACATGAAAGGCTTTTTCTGCATCTAATGAGATGAACATTTTCCTTACTTCTATTTATGTAATGAATTATGTCTCTGATTTTGGTATTAGAGTAATACTGTCTTTATAGAATGGCTTTGGGAGTACCTTCCCACCCCCACTTTCTATTTTATGGAACAATTTGAGGAGCGTTCTTATTAGTTCTTTGAAGGTCTGACAGAATTCAGCTGGAAATTTGTCTGATCCTGGGCTTTTCTTTGTATTGGGCTTTTTGTTACTTCTTCAATCTCATTGCTTCTTTTTTTTTTTTTAATTTTTTATTGTTGGCTGTTCAAAACATTACATAGTTCTTGATATATCATATTTCACAATTTGATTCAAGTGGGTTATGAGCTCCCATTTTTACCCCATATAGAGATTGCAGAATCACATCAGTTACACATCCATTGATTTACATATTGCCATACTAGTGTCTGTTGTATTCTGCTGCCTTTCC